ACGTACAGGTGCTATACAGGTAGATCCAAGGCCACTGAAACAAATCGTGTCCTGGCCCATGGGACTGATCCAAAGTGATCTTAGCACTAAGATGAGGTAACTCCCATTCTTTCATACAGGATTACAATACCAGGTAGTTGTGCTTGGATCACTTTGTGGAACCTGCCCTGTTGATGTATTCTAACTCCATCTGAATGTCAAAATAAGGCTCACCTTTTGAATGATTTTTGACAGATTTTTACCTTCCAGGGGCAAAAAGAATCTATTTCTAAAATTTAAAATTGAACTTATTAGTGCATTGTTATTACTGTACTTTGGCTTATAAGTGACAGGTAAAAATGACAAATGGATCTGTAAAGTAATTTGATCTGGCCTGATTTTTTAAGTCTGCACTCTGCAGTATATTAAGCAGAAATCCTGCAACTTCTGTAGGCTCCCTGAAGACTCATCATTCACAATCGAGACTGCGTGATTTCATATTAAATGCAGTCTTGCAGTCACGTGTTTGTTGTTTAAGGCCTGGTATGCTGAAATGTACAAGTTCTACGAAGCATGAGAGTTTCACGCCTCTATAAACTGTAACAAATGTTATATTTGGGATAACACTTTCTTAGTATAGTACACATTCTTGTATTTTTGGGGGTTGAATCCCGTCCTGGATTCGAACCCACACTGCCAGAGTGAGGCACCTAAACACCAGCATGCAAAGTTAGCGATCTAACCCACTCAGCCACCAAGGCTTCCACAAGATGAAAGTTCGACAACTGGTAGTCCAGACTACATACTTTGTAAAGTGTCAAAATGTATACTTTACAGTACTTTATCAGCATATAGATGTACTCCCCCTGACCAAATAGTGACTACCCATTGCTCGAAAGTATTTGCCTGTGCTCTGACATAGAGAGATTTAATTACCAAGCAGGTAAACATGTGATAGACTGACTGGCCAAAGTCTGTGACAGAAAGTTAAGCTATGTTATAAATGTTATATTTGGGATAACGCTTTCTTAGAAAGGTACAGATTCTCGTACTTTTTTGGGTTGAGTCCCGTCCGGGATTCACGAAGCAAGAGAGTTTCACGCCTCTATAAACTGTAACAAATGTTATATTTGGGGTAACAATTTCTTAGTAAAGTACAAATTCTCGTACTATTTGGGTTGAGTTCCATCCTGTATTCGAACCCACACTGCCAGTGTGAGGCACTTAATCGCCAGCACACAAAGTCAGCGATCTAACCCACTCAGCCACCAAGGCTTCCACAAAAATGAAACTCTGACAACAGGGAGCCCTGCCAATTTACACTTGTCAGAGGGGTACTCAAAGTACGTGATCTACACTACCAGTTACCTGAATCCCAAAGTGTATCCCGTGGATAAGCCAACCCCTTTCTACAGAATCTTTTTTCTGGTCCTCAAAATTCGGCTTATACGCGGACATAAACGGTATTCATAGTTAAGCTGTGGTTGACATGTGTGATCACTGAGCCGTAGCCAGCAAGTAGAGCAATCTGAGTGACAATGGAGGGTGGAACCACACTCTGTTCAAGCAGCAGGAATAGGTCAAGGGTATAGTTTGTTTGCAAGACGACTTAAGGGTAAGTGAGTGCTACAGGGAAAGTATGTAGGCTTTCAGTGATTGTGTGTTCATGGACACATTCAGCTGACATGTTACTCTGGGACTCTTAAGTTAATATCATGAACTGGTTATGTACACTACCAGCTGAAGGCTAAATATCCCTATAGTTTGTATGTAGGACACTCTCCATATGATTGAACTGTGATGTCTGATGTTAAATACAGAAATTTCTATTTCGATTTGTTAACTGCTAAATCTTCCGACCCTACAAAATGTAAAGTTGAAAAAATAAATCTGTAAGGCTAAAAAAAATTAATAGTGTTGGTTCTCAGGCACTGCCACATCATCATAAAGTTCATTGCACGTTTTATTTTTGATTCCATTTTCAGTTTTTTGGGTGCATTGTGTTTAAGTATTAGGATTTTTATATTTTTTTGAAAATGGAAATAAAAACAAAATGTGTGGCAGACTTTATGATGATGCAGGTCAGTTGCCTGACTATTATCCCGGTATTAATTTTAGCCTAAAATCTGTCTGTCACTTTCAGCAAATGCATACTTGACCCAACTAAATTTGAGCAACATGCAAGTAACATATGAACATTTTATGAAAAAATAAATAACTAAAAAATGAAATTTTCACCAAAAATCTTTAAAACAATAAATATAGAAATATCTTACCCAAACTTGACATAATATTTCCAGTTTTTGGACATGTGATAATGAGAGTATGTAGACTAGGTGACTGACATAGAGTGATGTTTGCTTGTGCCCCTTGTGACCAGGAAGTGGGAACCATATGATAGAGTGCATGGCTGGTCCTACTGGTACAAGACTGTCCAAGTGTTGGTGGAGATGGGTGATGGCAGTGGATGTGCACAGGACGCAGCTGTTGGGTGAGGATAGTTGATAGGGGTGGTGGATTTATACAGCTGTTGGGTGGGGTCGGTTGATAGGGGTTGTGGTTTTATACAGCTGTAGAGTGGGAGTAGTTGATGTGGGTGGTGGTTTTATACAGCTGTAGGTTAGGGATGGTTGATGTGGGTGGTGGATTTAAAAAGCTGTTGGGTGGAGATGGTTGGTGGGGGTTGTGGATTTATACAGCTGTAGAGTGGAGATGGTTAGTGGGGGTTGTGGATTTATACAGCTGTAGAGTGGAGATGGTTGGTGTGGGTTGTGGATTTATACAGCTGTAGAGTGGAGATGGTTGGTGTGGGTTGTGGATTTATACAGCTGTTGGGTGGAGATGGTTAGTGGGGGTTGTGGATTTCTACAGCTGTAGAGTGGAGATGGTTAGTGGGGGTTGTGGATTTCTACAGCTGTAGAGTGGAGATGGTTAGTGGGGGTTGTGGATTTCTACAGCTGTAGAGTGGAGATGGTTAGTGGAGGTTGTGGATTTCTACAGCTGTAGAGTGGAGATGGTTGGTGTGGGTTGTGGATTTATACAGCTGTTGGGTGGAGATGGTTAGTGGGGGTTGTGGATTTCTACAGCTGTAGAGTGGAGATGGTTAGTGGGGGTTGTGGATTTCTACAGCTGTAGAGTGGAGATGGTTAGTGGGGGTTGTGGATTTCTACAGCTGTAGAGTGGAGATGGTTAGTGGGGGTTGTGGATTTCTACAGCTGTAGAGTGGAGATGGTTGGTGGGGGTTGTGGATTTCTACAGCTGTGGAATAGGAATGGTTGAAGGGGAAACATAATTTGTGGCATATGTTTTTTATTTTCAAAATCTATTAAATTTGTATTCCTGTCTCATTTGTTTTTTCGTGTGTAGTCCATTTTACAAATGGTGGATTATCTTTATTAAATTGTGAAATATGAAACATACAACTTTAAGGAAATCAACTGTAATATATTGTTATTGGTTAATTATGCTTATTTGTTAACATTACGTCATTCACAAGTTTTCTGTTTGCTTATTAGTAAAAAAATAAAACCCTAACATTGTCGGTTTGATTTTGGAAAAAAACAGGAATTGTGTAATAAACATGAGAGAAAGATGTTGTTCCCATCGCTATTAAAAGATTTTGCAAAACCAGAAATGTAAATAGAAGCAAAACATCCCATAATTGTTTCCCTGTGTTTGTGATGCCACAGGAAACTGGAACTTTATTATTTAAACACTTATTTTGTACGTTACATGTCATTGGTTTAATATCGAAATCAGAAATGTTTCTTTTGATAGAATGTAAAATCTCCATAAATTTTATTATTTGAAGAAATATCCGTACAGGTTTCAGTTCATATTATTCATATCAGCGAGTGAAGTCATTACTGTTCTCCAGAAATAGAGCCAGTTCTGAGAATCTTGCAGTATTGTATAAATAACTCTGGTGGTTAATAGTTTAAACTGGGATGGCTATAAGTTGTCAATTATTTCCACAGAAAAAGTCAGGTGTCAACAAGTCTAACTGGTATTGTCATGATGGATCGGGTCACCTAGCAACAGTGTTTTTGTGATAACAGTACCAGTTATGGTATATATGTTTCGGGGGATTGGTAAGAGTGTTTGCTGTTCTTTTGTTTAACAAATGAGATCAGGGTTCAATGTTCAGACTGCACTGAGTACATAGACGTACAAACGTGTTACAGTGTTTTATGTCGTATCACATGGGTAGGTCGTGTATCAATGTATCAATGTATTAATGTATCACATCGGGAGGTCATGTATCAATGTATCAATGTATTAATGTATCACATCGGGAGGTCATGTATCAATGTATCAATGTATTAATGTATCACATCGGGAGGTCATGTATCAATGTATCAATGTATTAATGTATCACATCGGGAGGTCATGTATCAATGTATTAATGTATTACAGTGCTTTGTGCTTTAATATAACAGGCCTCAAAGTTTTAATTTTTACCAAGTAGCCATATGGCTACAAGTATTTTTTTCCAGGTAGCCAGTGATAAAATTAAAAGGTCAAGCCAATAGTGTAGGTAGCCAAAGCATTTGAAATGATCTTTTATCAAATAACTATTATGTGTACATGTCATAGCACTAGTCTTGGAATTGTATATTAGTGGAAACTGTACTTTACTTTTGTTATTTGTGACTCAACAATGATGCAGTTTATGTTATTAGATTATCTAGGTATATCCTCACTTATCCAATAAACTATCAACTAAAATAAAATACTAATTACATTAATATTTATGTATTTCAGTTCATTGTTGACTATAGGAGGAATTATTTGGGAGTACAATTAGTAGCAGACATGTATATTTTTGTGTCTACATAAGTGTAGCAATAGATTTTAGTAGCCACAAGATATTTTTCAATATTTGTCATTTGGCTACCTCTGAATTTTAGACAGTAGACACATTGAAATTTAGGTGGCAGTGGCAACTTTTAGGCCTGTATAGTATCATATCAGAAAGGCATGTATCAGTATTACAGTGCTTTACTTTTGGCATGTTTCAGATTGTGGGGACATAGAGTAATACCGCCACCATGGGCAACAAGTCCGGCAAGCAAGAGTATACTATAGATGATGACACTGCCAGCACGGTGTCATCTAGCTCACGAAGAGGTCACTTTATCAGACCTGTGGGGAAACGTGATCAAGAGGTTCTAAAGCAGTATGAAACCAGAGGAGAGGAACAGTTTCCTAGAGGACCAGAACAATTCCCTGGAAGAATGGAACAGTTTCCCAGAGCAAATCAGGCCCGGCGGCTATCAGAACAGTTTCCTAGAGGACCAGAACAAATTCCTAGAGGACCAGAACAGTTTCCTAGAGGACCAGAACAGTTTCCTAGAGGACCAGAACAGTTTCCAAGAGGACCAGAACAGTTTCCTAGAGGACCAGGACAGTTTCCAAGAGGACCAGAACAGCCTCCTAGAGGATCAGAACAGTTTCCTAGAGGACCAGAACAGTTTCCAAGAGGACTAGAACAGCTTCCTAGAGGATCAGAACAGTTTCCTAGAGGACCAGAACAGTTTCCAAGAGGACCAGAACAGTTTCCTAGAGGACAAGAACAGTTTCCTGGAGTAACAGACCCAAGTTCTAAGACAACAGAGTATTTCCCTCGGACAGTAGAACAGTTGTCTGGTCGTAAGATGACAGACAGTGTGGAGGCCTCTTCCCAAATGAGTTCAGGATATGTGTCCCAGAGTAGCTCTGGTGCATCATCTCAAGGTGTTGTGGCAACATCATCGCCCTCAAAAGCTTCTCCGAAATTCCAAACTCCACTCACAGAACATGATAATCCACATGCAAATCATTTGATAGCAAGACGTTCCAGGTCTGTGGATCACACTTTAGATCCACCGCAGTTGTCTCCACAAGCTATCGATTCCTATAACAAGGGCATGAATGAGACTTCTCCCATAAGTATACCTGGTTTTGATAGGAGACTATCACAAGATGAGTTTGGGCATAATCCTCTGTTAAAATCATTACCACAGTTAAAAAACAGAGAATCGCCTAAACTACCTCCAAAGCTACATTCTCCAAAATCTTCACCCAAAATTACTCGGATCAATGTAAGTGGACATAGTGGTGCTAGTAGTATGTCCAGAAATTTCTCATCTCCGAAACTTGCTCGGCGTGCTACTAAACGTCTTCCAGGACAGCAGCTGAAACTGACAAAGTCCTTTGAAGATCTGCAGTTGATAATGCCTGAACTGGACAACCCAACTCTTCCAAATGAAACCAGTGAGTATACAGCTGATTAGGATTAGATACGAACTAAATCTTAACCACAGGTCTTTTTCACCAATGGGGATTCCAGGTTAGAACAGGTCCCAAGTCTGGTTGTAACGTGGGGATTCTGGGAAAGAATAGGTCCCCAGCAACCTATGTTGGTCGTAGCATAGGGGATTCTAGTTTAGAATAGGTCCCCAAGAACCTATGCTGGTTGTAGCATAGGGGATTCTAGTTTAGAATAGGTCACCAGCAACCGATGTTGGTCGTAGCATAGGGGATTCTAGTTTGGGCTAAAAAAAAAATAGTCTTGGTTCTCAGGCACAGCCTGCATCATCATAAAGTTTGCCGCACGTATCCTCAAATACTTCAAGTCCAATGGTGGTCTAATACTGTATTCCAGTATTGTACTATCAAGGAATACATTGATGTAGGGAGGCCCTTTCCCAGGTCGATTGTACACAATTGTTTTTTGATTAAACAACTGTTTATTGGTTACATACTAGTTTGGACAACCCCCCCCCCAAAAAATACCACCCGCCCGCTCTATATTTAAAAAAAACCATTGCCTGAGAACCAATTCTTTTACTTTTTTAAGCCTTAGATAAGGTCCAATGTTGGTTGTATCATGGGGATTCCGTATTAGAATAGGTCCTTAGCAACCTGTGTTTGATGAACCGTGGGGATTCCATATTAGAATAGGTCCCCAGCAACCTATGTTGGACGTACCGTGAGGATTCCGTATTAGAATAGGTCCCCAGCAACCTATGTTGGACGTACCGTGAGGATTCCGTATTAGAATAGGTCCCCAGCAACCTATGTTGGACGTACCGTGAGGATTCCGTATTAGAATAGGTCCCCAGCAACCTATGTTGGACGTACCGTGGGGATTCCGTATTAGAATAGGTCCCCAGCAACCTATGTTGGACGTACCGTGGGGATTCCGTATTAGAATAGGTCCCCAGCAACCTATGTTGGTTGTACCGTGGGGATTCCGTATTAGAATAGGTCCCCAGCAACCTATGTTGGACGTACCGTGGGGATTCCGTATTAGAATAGGTCCCCAGCAACCTATGTTGGACGTACCGTGGGGATTCCGTATTAGAATAGGTCCCCAGCAACCTATGTTGGTTGTACCGTGGGGATTCTGTATTAGAATAGGTCCCCAGCAACCTATGTTGGACGTACCGTGGGGATTCCGTATTAGAATAGGTCCCCAGCAACCTATGTTGGTTGTACCGTGGGGATTCTGTATTAGAATAGGTCACCAGCAACCTATGTTGGACGTACCGTGGGGATTCCGTATTAGAATAGGTCCCCAGCAACCTATGTTGGACGTACCGTGGGGATTCCGTATTAGAATAGGTCTCCAGCAACCTATGTTGGTTGTATCGTGGGGATTCTGTATTAGATTAGGTCACCAGCAACCTATGTTGGACGTACCGTGGGGATTCCGTATTAGAATAGGTCCCCAGCAACCTATGTTGGACGTAGCATAGGGGATTCTAGTTTAGAATAGGTCCCCAGCAACCTATGTTGGACGTACCGTGGGGATTCCGTATTAGAATAGGTCTCCAGCAACCTATGTTGGGCGTACCGTGAGGATTGTGGATAAGAATAGGTCCATCACCAGATCCCTCCTTAAGACACCTGACAGTTTCACAAGGTAGAACATATGTGTGTGAAAGTTCCTGTATGACCAGAACAATCTGTGTGATTGGAACCAAAGCTTGACCCAATATGCACCTCCAAAGGAACAATTAAATGTTGGTAGTAAAAATTCCGCCAGAACTTATATACACATGGAACCAAATCTTTTATACCTTTGCAACAAGAAACATTGAGAAATATTTTCTTTGAACGCGTGTCATTACGGCAAGCCGAATTAGGTTTAGGGATGGGGCACACGACCCTTCAAGCCGTTCAATAACACAGGTTGGCAAGCTATACGCTTTTCATTGAGTAAAGAATAACCTCATTCTGAGAAAAAATCACATGTTAACTGCACACATATTTTCTGTTAACCAAACTGAAATTAAAAGTGCACAACAAACTGTGATGAAAGCAGTTCATGGGCGGTTTTCTACACGTAATTTGCTTAGAACAGTTACGTGTGATGATGATTTCTCACCATTTGTGTTATGCCAAAAAGTCCGAAGAAATTCTGACATACAGAGAAAATATCATTCAAATAAGCTTAATAGAAGTATGTGCAAGTTCTAATTTTTATTGTCTCGGCTACGTGACTTTAATGTCTGCCTCAGTGTGTCTTGTTTGGGTCCAACATCCTCGGGTAAAGTGCTAGAAAGACATTTCTCAAGAACCTGTGCTAAATACATAAAATGAAAGCCAAAATGAAACCAGAACAACAGGCCATCCTGAGATTCCATAAACACCATTCAAATATTTGTTTATTGAATGTGTTGAGGAGCTACTTTCAAACCATAGTTTGTTTTGTTTGTTTGTTTGTTTGTTGTTTAATGCCGCACTCAGCAATATCCCAGCTATATGACAGCGGTCTGTAAGTAATCAAGTCTGGACCAAACAATCCAGTGATTGACATCATGAGCATTGATCCACACAATTGGGATACGATGACATGCATCAACCAAGTCAGTGAGCCTGACCACCCGATCCCGTTAGTCACCTTTTACGACAAGCAAAGTCGCTTTTTACAGCAAGCATGGGTTGCTGAAGACAAACTATAGTAATCTCACAGCGACTTTAATCAGAATCAATGTAATCAACCTTATACTACAACATACCATGGCCATGTGGTTTGTTACGCCAATACCACTCACAATTTGGTACGAGGGGCGTTCAATAAGTTTTGCAACTTCAATATAAGACCAAGTCGCAGAATATTTTTGCACTTTTATTTTTTCAATATAATCTCGATTCACCTCAATACACTTATTCCATTTGTCCTTCAAGCTTTTAATACCACTTTTATAGAAATGCTGACTTGGTTGATGCATATCATCGTATCCCAATTACGTGGATTGATGCTCATGATGTCAATCACTGGACTGTTTTGTTTTTTTCACCAAAATAATATTCCAATAAGAGCCCCCTATTTCTAATTTTGAGCACTCCCTGGGGGCTTATTATGTCGAATACGGTAATACATGTTTTTGCATATTTTGAAGTTTGACCCTGCTATGATCTTTGAACTTCCGATACTGGGTTTAGCTGGATTTACTGAATTTTGATGTCTCCTTTGCAGCCTCCATGACAGTACGCCCTTCACACAGTGTACTCCTGTCAGTACACATTGTTAGAAGTGTTAGATGAATTGTTAAATATACATGATTTATAATTTGACAACCATGGTTAAACTGTCATACACATACATACGAGTCATGGAAATTCCACAATTTGGTGGGAATGCTAATAAATGACTTGCACTGCCCAGCTGCAGGTGACAGGCTGAGAACACTGGATGCTGGTTTACTGGTGTTCCTTACCAACTCTTGACCTGATTTTATTCACAAGCACGTTGAAGTATCTTTTATATATAAAATACCCCTTTGATACTGTGCCATTTAGTGCAAATGTTTGCTGTGCATGTTCTACTATATTTTACCTATTCTGCAGTAGCATTTGCATCACTGATAAATGTTTTTTTGTATTCCTTTATTATCCCCCGCCCAACCAAGTTGGCGGGAGATATAGAAATGGGCTCCGTCTGTCCCTCCGTCCGTCCGTCCGTCAATCACATTTTGTTTCCAAAGCATAACTCAGAAACCGTTCAATATTTTTTCATCAAACTTTGCAGGTCTGTCAGGTACATGCTGAAGTGGTGCCTTTTGCTATTTAGAAATTTTAGAAATTTTTATTTTTTACGTTTCCATGGCAACAAGATGGACTTAGGTTCCAAACTCTTCTTTTGTTTACAATTTCCATGACAAGTTCCACCTCGATTAAAAAAGGTTAGGGTTTGTTTAGATTTAATTATGTCATAAATTCTGCAACAGGGGCGGGGGATATAGCCACGTTAGTGGCAAACTCTTGTTAGTATTGTTTTATTATTTGAGGTGTTTGCTAGTACCGTAGCTCATTGCCTTACAAACATATTACATTTGGTGTTTCTGAAGAGCAGACAGATGAGGAGGGATGGGGAGGTGTATTGAGCGTCTACGGACCTGATTTTACGGATTCAGTGTTTATGTTATGTTATCCAATGTCAATAAAATCAGATCTCTTACTCCAATACGACACCTCTCTGCAGAACGATGGAGGAGACCTGTATAGGTGAGGTGGTTGCATCAGGTGAACTGTCTTAACAGCCAAGCAGCTGGATATGAGTGAGCGAAGCATTCAGATCACCATATCTGATGTCTGTATCTTGAACATGAACTGAATTGTTCCAAATGAGGATAAAGAAGGCAGAATAATCATTTTGTTGTTTCTGAGTGATAGGGCTGGCTATCGATATAGGTCTGAGAGATTGATAATCATAACTAAATATCGATCAAGTATCAATAAATATCGGAGAAGTAACTTTGAGCAAATATGCTAAAAGCTAAGAGACAAAACAACGTATTTCACATCACTCGTGAGTGGTGACACATTTATGCATGAATTACTTTGTGGACATTTAAGATATAACAAAATCAGTTGCTTTAAATTTTTGACTGGACAATAACAAGTCTGATTCGGTAAATTAAAACTTTATTTCATCACAATAGTTAATGTAAGATATTGATAACCCAATTTTCATATCGATAGCGTTAATATTTCTTCACATCAACAATAATTCCAATTATCAATCTTTTTAGCAAGCAAACTGAGCGCCATGGTGCCTACACTCAAAGGAGAGTACCACCGAAGGATTAATTGTTTTCTATGGGGGTTTCCTTTTGTACAAATCACAATTTCCAAAACAGGGTGATAAAAACATGAAGCCAAATCCTTTCAGAAAGCTGACATCGGAACCTCAAGACCCCATGTATCCTTCACATAAGATTGGGTGGGGAAAGTTAGCTCAGGTTTCTATGGAGGTGGCCTCTGATCTGATTTGAATGAGCCTGTGGTCACCATGAGCTGACATGTATGCCATATTTGTTCATTACAGAGCCTGTTATCTTCCTGGCAATGTACGACTTCGAGGCAATTAACGATGATGACTTGTCCTTTGTGAAAGGGGACCGACTCCGGAAGGTTAACGCCAGGTTGGTACAAACAAACATTCCATTCCTTTAACACAGTCAGTGTAGTTTGTAGTCAAATAATGAGACATTAAATTTGTGCAGAAACACTGTAGTCATTATATTCAAACAGCCCTCTTGTATACATGTGCTGATGTCGTAGCATAATATAGAGAATCTCACCCGAGTGTCTTTTGATATCAAATATATCAACATGAGTTGATAAAAGTGGAAAAATTCCGACGCTTGCCAAGGATTTTTGCCACTTTTATCAACGAGTGTTGATATATTTGATATCAAAAGACACTCGGGTGAGATTTTAATTATCATTCCACATCATTCTTTTCTTAGTCGTTTCAGTGATCGGTTAAAGTTTGCGAAAGGTCGTTCTGACGTGACCCGTAATGGGATGTCCTCAGATCTTTGTTTAGCGATAGCTAGAACTAAGATCTGATTTTGATGAGATTGAGTTGACCACTATCACTGTGATTTGAAGTGTGTGGACATAGTAGTATAAATGAAGGTCATATGTACTGACATTCACTGAGAACTATAATAAATTTTGACATAATTTGAGAAATACATGTGCATAATTTCTGTTTACAGCGACACAGCTGATTGGGTGATATGCAGCAGCTTGACCAATGGGAAGAGAGGCTACATCCCTGTCAACTATGTGAAGGTGGATGATAACTCCCCACAGGCTCAGGAGTAAGTGCATCCACCACTGCAGTCAGCGAATTTAGCCAACAGTCCGATGCCCCAGTCTAGTAAAATTCTGTTTGGTCTAGTGCCTTTGAGCAGACCCAAGCTGGAATTTGGCACTATATAAATTGATATACATTCTCCTGAAAATGATGCTTTTAGCCAAGTCGGTCTAATGGTCTCAAATGGCTTTGGCACAGACTACTATTTTTTTACTTCAAGATAAACATAACCTGTTTTCAATGTAGAGGTTTAACAAACTTAAATTTCTATTGAATTTAATCAAATCCATACTTGAGGATGTTAATTTGAAATTGGAGTCTCCATTCTAACAGGCCAAAATGCCAAAATATATTAAACCTCTTGGTAATAGTGGAAGTGATGGTTGTTGTAGCCTAGTCAATTGATTGAATGGTTAAATTAAGGGATCAATGATTAACGGTTTCAATCCTTAATTTTCACCATAATGCTTAAATCAATATTATATGAGACATTAAATTTGTGCAAAAAACTTTTAGTCATTATATTCAAACAGCCTTCTTGCAAACACGTGCTGATGTCATGGCATAATATTAAGTTCCTCAAGCTTCCAAGAGTTTGGACACTCATCATTTGCCCACTGTAGATGCATACCAAGCGTGGATGCAGCTTGATTTCGAAAAATAGGGGTGAAAAATTTTCATTTAGCAATTTGTGTCTGGTAATTAAGTTATTGCATCATCCAAAACTGGCTCCCACAGGAGATATCGCTTGGATGAGATCAAGCGATATCTACACTGTAGATATCGCTGCAATAAAATTGCATCACAATGCTTTGCAGACCATTGTGACGTCACTGGTTACCATGACGTCACAATCAAATGACATCACTTATGGCTCTGCCTCGGAGTTTTCCCACTTTTATCAACTCGTGTTGATATATTTGATATCAAGAGACACTCTGGTGAGATTCTCTATGTCTCCTTTTGTATACCTGATCAACAGAAATATACAACATAACATTATTGACAACATATTAAAGTAAAACAGCTAATTAATAAAACACGATCAATATATACAGAAGTACTCTCTACTACAATGTGATATACCATCTAGTAAAACACATGATTTGTACCCCCAGCTGCGAGGTGTTCTTCCTGCTGCATGAAGGAAGGCAGGATATTGTGAATCTAACAGTTAGACTGACAGTGACATGCATACAACATTAATGTATTCAGACCACACAATGTGATACCCTTTAAGGAAATGTTTCCTGTTTCAGACTGTTAGATCACGACTTCTGAATTGGTATTTTTTCATATCACATGCAGTTATTCAAAAGTGGTTTATCAAATTTGAATTTGCACTCATAAATGACTAATGACACTATTTAATGTCATCAGCCATTCCCCAAAGTGCTGTATCAGCAACTAAGAATAGTAAGCTGCTCCAATGAAGTTATTCAATCAGGGTTTTTGGTAGTCTTTGCAGTGCATCCTGTGTATTGTGTATAGATTCGCGCCCTCTTCAAGGTCGTTGTGGACTTCAGATGCTTGAGGCGCTGAGTGGGCCACGTGGACCATGAAGACGCTGCCCTTGCACGATGATGCAAAACCGCGAGCTGAGGCTTGCTTCCCGTTCTTACGAATCAAATTGTCCGACCTTGATGTGTTGCATGAGCAGGTCGTTATGAAAAATAACAACCTGCCAAAACAGTGGACATAACGTACCCTATAGTGGTATAAGTGTAGATCTCTCCATATTGTGATCTATTCTGATGAACGTTTTTAGCCCTATATGCAGCCAGGCCCTTTGTGTGTATTCTCTGCAAACAAATACGTTTATTGATACGTTTATCCCCACCGTTAATTGTCGGCTTAGATATATTTTTATTTTCCGTCTGACTGTTTGTCACCTTATTGCTTTTAACAAACTCCTTGCAAATGTATCAGGTGTGGAGTCATTACATAGATGACATCCATAAATCTCTGCTAGGGTTAACCAGGGTCATCTTCCTGAGTCAAGGGAGTTAACTGACTGTAAAAGTCCAGTTTCCACACCTTGCCCAATTAGGCTGGTATTATGGAGTTATATTTTGGCTGGACTAAGGAGTCTATGCAATCCTATCAATATTAAGTAACGAAATTGACATCCAGTTCGTAAACTGTCTTGCAGATTTCAGTGGATTGCAGGATTTGCAAAGCATGTGTACTGCCAACTCGGCATCAACAGATATTTTCCAAACTTTTCATGTTTTTAATCAAGGTGCCCACGTGATTTGATGCACTTCATGAAGTAATACCCGTTTTATCACGATATAGATTTTGATTATCGATCAGATCATCTCGACTGTGTGACGCCATTTTGTTTGAAGCAAATGCAAGTGATATAAGAGATGGAATCTGATTGGTCATTAGGAGGGACATAGAAGGTAGAAGGGACATAACTCGAAATGGTTAATGTTAAGTTTCGATGTTTAAGTTTGAAATCATTATGAATACATTACAGGTCTTCTTTAATATTGGAATATGGCTCCCAATGTCAAGTGTCCTTGTTTTGTGTTGTGTATCCAGCCCCCTTGTTGTAGTGCTTACCCTGCCTAATCCAAATCTTAGTGGAGATGGACCTTGTTAATCAGGATGTTGTGTTCGCTGTGCAAAATGTCCAGATTCACAAATGTCTGGATTATCAAATCAAGGGGTGATGTTCCTTTGTGTAGGCTGTATATATGTTTCCAGCAAGATAATTCTGAATGCAGGGAGTCCTTACTAATGAGGCTTCACTGTTCATCATAGTGTGACTGTACCCACCTAGATGCTGTCCTGTCTGCCATGTTTCAAGTATTGATGATGTTTTTCAGCTGGTGGTTCGACTGTAGTCGGCATGACGGGGAGGCGTGGCTGAAGAGGGAGGGTGTGATGACAGGCAGCTTTCTCATCAGGGCTTCCGCAGGTGAGACAAATATACTACCTTCCCAACCCAAAGGGTAGTGGTTGAGTGGGTGAGTGAGTGTGATTATACTGCTCTTAACGTTATTCCAGCAATATCACAGCAGGGGAAATCAGAAAATTGGCTTCACACATTGCACCCATGTTGGGAATCGAACTTGGTCTTCGGCGTGATGAGCTAACACTTTACCCACTAGGCTACCCCACCACCCTGGAATTGGTCACACATTATAGGAATATTGCTGCAGTCATGGCCCAGTCTTCTAAGAAGCTGCAATTAGCTATGCAGATCTGTATCCCTTGATCGGTTGCCTATGATCAATCATGGCGGGGCACATCAGAAATTGGCTTCATGCATCAGCCCACGTGGAGAATTGAACCTGTCTCAGCCTTCAAGGTGGTGAGTGAAGGCTCCACAACCACTTGGCTACCATGTCGTTCATATGATTGAGTGAGTTAGTGAATTCATGCTTGACATCTCGTTGATGATTTTTCTACCACACAGCAAGGATGGATGTTGATGAATTCATAGTACCATGATGTCTTTTAACAGCAATTTCATTTGAACATAAGTATCATATATTTTCAGACAAAAATTCCTATGCACTGTCTGTGAGGTGTCTGGAACCAGATGGTAGAACACCATCCATCCGCCATTACAAGATACGCAAGTCCGCTGATGGACAAGTGTACATTGGAGTTAGGAAACTGTTCCCTGATGTCATCTCGCTTGTGGAACATTATCAGAGTGAGTGTCATCTACTTCGTCTTTGATCTTTGATGCTAAGAATGTTCAAGTGGAACAGAAGCTTTTTAGGAGTTGGAGCTGTGAGCTGAGTTACAGTACAGAAAACATAAACATCAATCTCATTAAAATCAGATCTTAGTTCTCGCTACCGCTAAACAATTATCTGAGGACATGCCATTACGGGTCGCGTCAGAACGACCTTTCATCCGACCAATCAGAGCGTCGCTCACCAGATCATGAAAGTGACAGTCGGAATGTGATTTCTAATCATGCAATCTTGAAAACTTTAACACGGGTTATTCCAAACGATAGTTACGGGTTTAACGACTAAATCCATACAATCTAGACCATCTATTAGCCATTCCAGAATGTTCTTTTGTTCAGGTTTCAAATTTTTAATCGAGAATTTGTCAAAATATGTTTCGAAGCTAAGTCACCAATTTGAAATTAGTGCCGTAAAGCATGAGAAATCTGCCTTCTGATTGGCTAAAGTCGACTTCTTGTCAGTCCTTCCATTGGTCAGTCAAAATTCGCTCAAGGTTGTTCTGACGTGACCTGTAATGGGATGTCCTCAGATCTTTGTTTAGCGGCAACGAGAATTTAAATCTGATTTGAATGAGATTGACATAAACATAATCTTGTGGCCATCTTGGCAGCCATCATGGATTCTAAACTTACTCAATGGTCAATACGACAAAACATGCCAACATGATTGGGTTTTTTTCAGAAAGGGAATGAACATAGACTCCTATCACAAACACTGACTTGTTAAAAAATCCCTGATACCACAATTATGTTGTACAACAGACTTGAGAACTTGCCTGAGTCATTAAACTAAAAAAATAACAGAATGTGAAGTCAAACCTTCTGAATACCGGTGTAAAGTCTGAAAGTATACCCCCCTTTCAAAGTATACGTGGATAGTTTCTGGGTCCTTCCAGAATCTACCCCAGGGTATAATCTGAAGGGGGGTAGATTTTGGCAGCTTACATCGTTACTTTTTGTTCCACATTACTTTATATCTAGGCTCCTACTGATATTATCACATGGATTCTTTAGACAAGATCTACCCATGAGAACAATGAGAGACTTGAAGATGGCCCCTATTGTTTCTAGCAACTGTTTCTCTTTGTCCCATTATAGAAGTACCTAGTCTCTCTTACAGTTCAGCCACATACATCCCAGGCATAACTCATCTGTGTATTAAAAGAACAATTCATGCAATCGGAAATCTTCACTGTCCCAAAATCTCTGGTGTCTGTGTAAATATGTGCAACTTGAGCGGCACTGTTGTATTATGTGTATTGGTTGGACAATATATCAGTAGAATTGTACTAGAAAATGACAAACACTCATTGAACCAGAGCCTAAACCTGGGCTGAATGAAATATGCAATGCATGGCAATTGGAGTGTGACATGGGCTTGTACCTCTGTGTTGGCAGAGAAGGAAGACGGCCTGGTGTGTCGACTCAGTGAGCCCTGTCCCCGCACGGCCCCCGTCACCCATCTCCGCAGTATGGAGGTGAGCCGGGAGAACATCCGCAAGACAGAGAAGCTGGGGGCAGGATACTTCGGGGAAGTGTGGAAAGGTATTACTGTCATGAGGCTCTTTACTGTCGTAAAGGGAGTGAGTGAGTGAGTGAGTGAGTAGGGTCAAATGCTGGTTTGCTCAGTATTCCAGCATGTCAGCTTAGGTGGGAAGACCGTATTTTTGCAGGCCTCACTCAGAGATTTCCCAGTTGGTTGTGCTCAGTGACTTGGTTGATTGTATTTTATTGATACTCTGCAATGTGAGATGCTCATAGTGTTGATGGTGACGGTCAGGATGATGATGAAGATTATTGATGATGATGATAATGATGGTGATTGATGATGATGATGATGATTGATGATGATGAGTGATGATGATGATGATTGATTATGATGATGGTGCTTGATGATTGATGATGATGGTGATGATGATGGTGATTAATGTTGATTGTTATTATTTCAGGAAAGCTCCGAGGGAAACTTGATATTGCCATTAAGATGCTGAAACCTGGGAGAATGACTGTGAAAGAATTCATCCGTGAGGCGAGGACAATGAACAAGTTACGTCACGTCCGCCTGGTGCAGCTTCTGGCTGTGTGTACGAACTGTGAACCTGTGCTGCTCATCACGGAGTACATGGCCAATGGATCCCTACTGGACTTCCTTCGGCGAGACAGGCGTACGAAGCTCGAACATACCATGATGCTTAATATGACTCGGCAGGTAGGTAACTGTTGTTGTCATGACAATTTCATTAACATTTAATATACAAATCTGAAAACTTATTTTCTTGTTGATACAGATGAAACGACTGAAAAAAGTAAAAATAATAATAACATTTTTTTATTGAAAATATTTTTATTTAAATCCTGACAACGTTTCGATTTTTTAACGATATTACATCCTTTCTCTTGGTATGTCGACCTAGAACATATGTCAGGGTCTTTTTCGTTTGCTATTTAACTATGTCGACTTCCCGCACACAGATAGCAGAAGGAATGGCGTATCTTGAATCTCGCAACTTCATCCATCGTGACCTCCGTGCTGGCAACATCCTGGTCGGGGAACATTACGATGTGAAGGTCGCTGACTTCGGACTGGCCAGGGTTGTTGATGATGGACAGTATGTAGCTGGAGGTAGGTGTTCAGTCCTTTCAATGTGTAACACATTTGTCTTCAACCATGATTAGTTGCAACTGACACGGTTGGAAGGTTGGCAATTAAGGTGCCCCTCCTTGCTAACCGCTATTTTTCAGTGGAACTTAGCTTCCACACAACGCCTGTGCCCATGCCCCTGAAGCCCTGAGCCCCTGTGCTCCTGTGCCTTTGTGCCCCTGTGCCCATGCCCTTGTGCTCCTGTGCCCATGCCCCTGAGCCTCTGAGCTCCTGTGCCTTAGTGCCCCTGAGCCCCTGTGCTCATGCCCCTGTGCTTCTGAGCCCCTGTGCTCCTGTGCCCATGCTCCTGTGCCCATGCCCCTGTGCCCCTGTGCCCATGCCCCTGTGCTTCTGAGCCCCTGTGCTCCTGTGCCTTAGTGCCCCTGAGCCCCTGTGCTCATGCCCCTGTGCTTCTGAGCCCCTGTGCTCCTGTACCTTTGTGCCCCTGTGCCCATGCCCCTGTGCTCCTGTGCCTTTGTGCCCCTGTGCCCATGCCCCTGTGCTTCTGAGCCCCTGTCGCCATGCCCCTGTGCCCATGCCCCTGTGCTTCTGAGCCCCTGTGCTCCTGTGCCTTTGTGCCCCTGTGCCCCTGTGCCCATGCCCCTGTGCTCCTGTGCCCCTGCCCCTGTGCCTTTGAGCCCCTGTGCCCCTGTGCCCATGCCCCTGTGCTTCTGAGCCCCTGTGCTCCTGTGCCTTAGTGCCCCTGAGCCCCTGTGCCCATGCCCCTGTGCTTCTGAGCCCCTGTGCTCCTGTACCTTTGTGCCCCTGTGCCCATGCCCCTGTGCTCCTGTGCCTTTGTGCCCCTGTGCCTTTGAGCCCCTGTGCTCCTGTGCCTTTGTGCCCCTGTGCCAATGCCCCTGTGCCCCTGTGCCTTTGAGCCCCTGTGCCCCTGTGCAACTGAGCCCCTGTCCCCAACTTCTCTGATTTTACTGTCTTGATTTGCTGGCCAGGACATGACCTTTCCTAGATTTGTATGAATCTGTATGTGCTATTTGTATGAGTCTGTATGTTGTATTTCTGCATGTAGGTACGCGGTTCCCGATCAAGTGGACTGCCCCTGAGGGAGTGTTGTACAGCAAGTTCAGCATCAAGTCGGACGTGTGGTCCTTTGGTATCCTCATGTATGAGATTGCAACATCAGGAAAGGAACCGTATGCAGGTAGGGAATTCACTGTGTTGGGTCACTTACAAGGGAAGTCCTGAATATTTCATTTTTAGGATGAATCAAGTCAATGTAAAGTTCAACAGAAATACCTGCTTATATTATTGTGTGGTGTATAGATATAGTATAGTCAGTAAAGTGACAGAGGTTTGCATACTGGCTATAAAAGCAACTAATTAGGTCATATGTTTAGACCATATTTGTTTACAGAGCCACTGACCCTTAACTAAGAAAGGTGTAATAAATTAAATTCTGTATTCGACGTAATAAGCGCCCCGCTCTAATAAGCACCCACGGTGATATTTGCTAATATATTGGCTAGTGAACAATCCCAATTAGCACCCCTTCCGATTGATCAATATACACAAGACTTATTTATTTGTGTATAATACGCACTTGTGTGTTATTGAGACCGGCTTAATAAAGACATGGCAAGCTTAAAACACATTGAGACCAGCTGAATAAAGACATGGCAAGCTTAAAACTCATTGAGACCGGCTGAATAAAGACATGGCAAGCTTAAAACACATTGAGACAGGCTGAATAAAGACATGGCAAGCTTAAAACACATTGAGACCAGCTGAATAAAGACATGGCAAGCTTAAAACTCATTGAGACCGGCTGAATAAAGACATGGCAAGCTTAAAACTCATTGAGACAGGCTGAATAAAGACATGGCAAGCTTAAAACTCATTGAGACAGGATTAACACGGACATGGCAAGCTGTTCAGATAACTTTATGAAGAATTAAAAGATTGATTATATTCATCAATGATGGAGCTTTTGGGCAATAAAAATGAACTTAAACACTTTTAACTTTATTTCATGAATAAAGATATTGGCTTTGGTCAGAAGAATCTTTATAATAATTTAAAAAAAAAGTTCTCAAGAAGTAGTAACATTTTAATCTTTATGGAAGTTTCAAGTTCTTTATAATTTTCTTCTATGATGAATCAAGTATATCTCATGAAAAAGAAATATCCGTGTTTTTTTATTTTTTTGGTAGTAAGAGGGGGGTCAAAGGAAAATAAATTACTTAATATGCAGTGACAAAGGCTTGGGTGACCTATTAAGATTTCCATTTTAAAAAGCCACACAATTTTATCAAAAAACTATCACAAAAATGTTGATTTTGAAGAAAAATCATTTTTTTAAATTGTAAATACAAACACCATAGAAACCAACCAAGTTCAAATCTACCTTTGCATCTTCAAAATCAATTTACTGATGATTTTACGACTCACTGATTCACTAACCCACCTGTAGAGATATGCAGGAACTGTATTGATCTATACTCAGCTGTGACCTACACTCCAATAACTCTGTTGATCAGGTATGAGACCGTCAGAAGCTGTGGATGAGATTCAGAGAGGATACCGCCTTCCGAAGCCACAGGAACACTGGCTTCCTGAGCAGATCGACCCGTACTATTTGATCATGCAACAGTGTTGGAAGTACGACCCAGTGACAAGACCCTCCTTCTTCCATATACACACATTGTTTGAAGACTTCAAGGTCCAGATGGAGAGAGACTATGGAGATGTGTGAGGATTCGGGTGGACACAGCTGCAGGGTTAGAAAAGATGCGGTGAGATAAATATGTGACAGGACTGATCAGGATCTTGAAGAGATCTGGCCCTCCTTACAATCTAAGGAATGCAAGATCAGAGTATAGTTTCAGTAAACTATGTGAGACACATGTTTGGAAGTATTGACTACATCCGGTAACTCAACAGGGTGCCGTTGTTGAAAACAACCTTAGCGCTGTGACTGTCATAAGTCTATGTTAAGGTATGGGAGTTACGATCACATTTGCGCTAAGATTGCTTTGTACAATGGCACTCAGGACATGAAATAAGATGTGACTGGTATTTCTGTTGGCCTTGGACCATAGGACCAGCAGTTAAACACCTGCTTGACTGAGTCACCATGATGCAGAATCTTGAATGGTGTGATGGAGATTGAGATGGAGACGGTGATGGAGGCGTTGATGGAAACGATGATGGAGACGGTGATAGGGACGGCGATGGAGGCGGTGATGGAGACTGTGATGGGGACGGTGATGGAGACAGAGATGGAGACGGCGATTGGAGATGGTGATGGAGACGGTGATGGAGATGGAGATGGAGATGGCGCACTCGACAAATGGAAAGGATCTCCAAACACTTTTGAAAATAACTTACTTTTCAGCAAGCTACTTCTGATCTTCATATGGAATATCAACAGTGATTTTCTTCAAGTGATCAAATTTGGAAATATATATTGTGACTTCTTGGTTCTTCTTGGTACTACCTCCACAGTTTCTTGCCTCTATGGTGACCATCCAGTGTTGTATCTCATGGTGTCGTCAGTAATTTACCTGTGTAGTAACTCGGACACTGACTCAGGTTGGTTGAGATTTCCATCATCAAATTGATTGCTAATAATTTGAGATTCACAGATCCCAAAGTGGTGTGTTATGGCTGACGTCCACTCCAATAATATCCATGTGACCTTGGATATCTGTTTTGACTAATAATATCAACAGTGTGATACCCATGATAATGATACCCACAATGACCATGGTATCAAATTGTGATATCAATGTGTGAAGCTATCCCCATAATTATAAGGATATCAATAGTGACTTTGTGATATCACATAAGCTTGTGATATCCATAATGTAGGCCAACTGCATCAATCTCATTCAGTGTATAATCAGTCAATAGTCAGTGAGTCACTGGATATCATCATAATATTACACATTCATCATGTCCTTATCAACCACAACGACACGTATTATGTATAAACTCTTACGTCTCACTTCTCAGAAGACATCTCGGTGACTGAAATATTCTTCATGTGGCTGCTGAATGGCAGTGTGGATGTGTTGTGTCATTGTGTACCGATTGACCTTGACGAGTCATACCCCTGACTCTTGTGGACTGCTCAATAAAGACAAGGAAGAAGGAAACTCACTCGTGAATATTGTAACATGTGTGAACATTATTACATTGATTGTACATATATATATATGTATTTACTCAGCAGTTGGACAACAATCAGAACATCAACAAAAAAAGCTCTGATTTGGCAGATAATGAAGAGACAATTGACACATATATACATGTATTCTGTGATCTGTCAGACAATGTTGACCAGTAGAGATAATTATTTTATGATCTGATAGACAGTGGAGAATAATAGAGATAATTAATCTATGATCCAATAGACAGCAGAGACCAATAGAAATAATTAATCTATGATCCAATAGCCACTGGAGAATAATAGCGATAATTATTTTATGATCCAATAGATAATGGAAAAAATAGGGACAATTAATCCTTGATCCGATAAACAACAGAGACCAATAGAGATAACAATTCTATGATCCGATAGTCAACAGCGACCAATAGAAATAATTATTTTATGATCTGATAGACAACAGAGACCAATAGCTATATATATTCTATGATCTGATAGACAACAGAGACCAATAGCTATATATATTCTATGATCTGATAGACAACAGAGACCAATAGCTATATATATTCTATGATCTGATAGACAACAGAGACCAATAGAGATATAGATCTTCATTGATCTGACGAAAAATGGTAGGGTTAGATTTTTTGAATACACAATATGTTTTCAGGCAAAGCTCCAAAACATATGTTATATTCTGTTCACAGCACATTAATGACCCAGGCGCTGTTTCCTAACATGATCTTAGTGCTATCTTAGGTATACGAGTAGTGTGGCTTCTCCTATACTTTAACATATGACAATCATATAACTGAGATTACTTTGTTCAATGACCATGGCGCAGTCTTTATCAGAATATACCATGAGTGCCAACAATGCCTACATGAGCTCAGTTCTGATGTCTCAGAGTATTTCTGTGTTGCTCAATAACCTCTGGTATCTTGTGAGACTGGACCATTACCAGTCTCAGCATTGTTAAAGATGATAATGTATATGTGTTTGTATTACAGTGTTCTGTGGTGATGTTGTATATGTAGCACAATGGTTTCAATAAGAATGTATATAGAGTACATCATATTATTGTTATGGTACACACACACACAAGCTCATTTATAAATGACAGTGTTTTATGATATCTCTCTCTCTCTCTCTCTCTCTCTCTCTCTCTCTCTCTCTCTCTCTCTCACACACACACACACACTGCTATGTATGTGTGTATGAGTATGATTAAATGCAAACACACACATAGGTAGGTGTGTGTGTGTGTGTGTGTGTGTGTGTGTGTGTGTGTGTGTGTGTGTGTGTGTGTGTGAGTATGTATGTATGATTAAATGCAGACAGACACAATCATTTTGGTATGTATGAGTGTATGATTCACACACACACAGACACATTGGTATTTCATGTTATTAATGACATTGTTTTATGATTATAAACACACACACACATATATATATTGGTATGTGTTTTGTGGTTAAATGCACAGACACAAACACACACACACACACACACACACATATTCATATGTATTTATAAGTGTTTTATGATCACACACACATACACATACACATATTCGTATGTACGTATGAGTGTTTTATGATCACACACACACGTACACACAAAAAAAAACCACACATACAGGTATGTATGTGGGGTTTCATGATTACATGTATATATGTATATATGACAGTGTTTAATGGTTACAATATTTATACACCTAAGTTTGTTGTATATATTTGCAATGTACGGCTCACGAGTCCCTAGAGTCTTTCAGGAATGTGTGACTGCGTGATGGAACGTAGCAACCACACCAGGCAACAATCACGGGTTGCTGTGACCATACACAGTGTTTCAATACACTCTGCATCTCAACAGTCATGTCGTGGTAGGATGCGCGATACTGCACATTATTGTAGCAGGATCACTCGGGGTACATGGGGTTTTATGCGTCCCACTTCAGGTTTTATACCACGAGCTGGTGACAAGTGGTACAAGACCCAACGAGGGATACAAAAAAAACCATGTACCCCGAGAGATAATTCACCAACGAATTTACCTTACCGACATGTTTTAATGTGACATTGAAAAAGAATTCAAACAAATTTAAAATTGACAGAAAAACAACTGTTCGATTGAGCTGAGGTTAGCTTGCGGTATGTCACTTCACTTGGAAAAAGCGTGTGGATTTTTGCTTTGAAGCGGTTTAAAAGGGATTTATTCTGCCACACAGAAATCCACGTGCAGCCTGATTTGCTCGTGGCGGGGTTTTAGGGATTTATTCCGCAGAGAAATTTATTTCCCTCCAAGGCGGGTTACATAGTTTTTTATCAAGATCACGTGGACCAATCAATTGGTATCGATATCAGATCTCGCCATTCTGACATGGAGGTATGATAACAAAACCTGTCACTTGCCGTATTTACAGACATATTCCATCATGAAGGGTCGTGACTAAAGACCAACTAATACATATCTGCTTAACTTGTATCAGGTGTAGACTAGTGAGTCAGCTAGAATAACATTGTTTTGAGACCTCTAGTACATAACAACAGAAAATAGTATCATTCCTGCTTATGAATACTTCTGTTGATTTGTACTGAGACATGACGTAATGTACTGCATGACATGACACAGGGGGACACAGGTGGCCCAGTTGTATAAGTCGCTAAAAGTCGCTGTGCATATGACTGCGGGTTTGAATCCTGGTTTGACCCAGTTTCGTTTCTAGGGTTGTCAGCACCATACCATGCTCGTGGGTTTCAAAAAAGTGGTAAACGTCTAAGACATGCATCACTTTGGGCTTTCCTTCCACAGTAAGCTGACACGTTGTGATACAACTGGAATACTGTTCAAAACGGGATTAAACCTCACTCACTCACTCACTCACTCACTCACTCACTCACTCACTCACTCACTCACTCACTCACTCACTCACTCACTCACTCACTCACTCACTCACTCACTCACTCTGTGAGTCTGTGGTCATATGAACATCAACCTTCTGTGTAACACTTTTGTAAGGTTCCCTCTGGCTGAAGACATTTGAATCCCAAAAATCCCAAACTATGTGTTACTAGACTTAAAAACCAACAGCAATGTTATACAGTTTTTTGCACTTCGGCTTAAGGATTGCGTTAAGGAATATTAATCAAATTTAGTGAGTGGTCTAGGTATTGTTCTCCTACATTCCTTGACAGTTTGGACCCACCTCTGAAGTGTAGTGGATAGAGTGTTTCCCAGGATAGTTGAAGAAATCCCTGGCTGTGTCATACCAAAAGACGTTATAGGATGTTACTTGTTGTTACCCTGCCTGGCACTCGGCATTAAGCAGATGAAACAAGGACTGGTCGGCTCTGAGTCAGTATACTGAGTCTGAGTGGGGTATTTATGTTGAACTGGCATGGCATCTCATTGGGCTAGCACTACAACAAGGGCTGGTCGGCTCGGAGTCAGTATACTGTGTCTGGGTGGGGTATTCATGTTGAACTGGCATGGCATCTCATTGGGCTAGCACTATAACAAGGGCTGGACAAGCGCAAGCAGCCAGACCCAGATACATTCACCTAGCATTATTCTTGAATGCGACGTTAAAACCCCATTTCACCTCACCATACCATTTTCAAGTCATCAGTCCACATTCCAAGTTATTAGTAAGGGCGACATATCAAAGACACTCCGCAAAGAGCAGGCCCCGCTGAGGATCGCCCTTTGCGGAGTGTCTTTGATATGTCGTCTGTTCTTTATATTCACTCTTCAGGCAATATTGGAAAAAGTTCTGTCATATATATTTCATGATTAACTTAAATCTTTTCTGAGTAATGTTTTTGTTGTAAACTGTATTGACCAAACTTGCTTCTGAACACTATAATTTTAAGCCATTTGACAGAAAATGTAATTTTATGTACCGGTAAATAGCATGTTTTAAAGATGTCACTACTGTCAATTGTAACATTTTAGACAGTATGATCATTGTCTTTTAAGTTAAACTGAGGGGGAAAAAACTATATAGAGATGTTTTTTGTGTTATTGAAAATTGAAAGAACTGTTGTTAAACTTGATTTTGTCTATTTAACCATCACTTGATCTAAAAAGTAATATGTGGTGGGATAACTTTGAGTTAAAATAAATTGGCTCAATGAAGACTAGGGGTTGAAATAAATGTTTTGCAACCAAGTGACCCCTATCATGTTCGAAATTTGTAAATTTGTGCCGAAAATAAAATACTGATTTTCAAAGATAAGATGTCTTTGATAGCCATCAGCAGTTGCATGTTATGTGATTTTTTTTTGATTTTTAAAAGTTTTAAATCAAATTATATTTAAAAAATAAAATCATGTAGAGATATTTTTAGGGTGCTGACTAAAGGCCAGTACTTTTCCTTTTTTGGATATAATATTGCTAACTTAAGATATTTTCAATTGAAAATCAACCATGATAAAATCAACTGAGAGATATAGTTTATTTTCCTTCCGAGTTTACATCCAAAAAATACAAAATAACATAACATTGAACATTTTGTTTCTATTGTAAAATATGTATATATGTGCTATAATTTAAACATTTGCATGTTTATTTATGAAATATTTTATGAAGTAAATATATGTCTTTGTTGAAACAGTCTGTTATTTCAGACATGACAACTGTTAGGTAATGTAGGTTATCTGATGTTTGAGAAGTGTGGATATCATCTTCATATTGGAGTAGATACCATGGATACTATAACATTGATAATACTACTCAAAAGAAGTTAAGGACCATCTGATCATTTCATATCACTATAGCATGGCATGACAGATTAGATATGGTAATATGAAAGAAATGGGTGTCCTTAACTTCTTTTGAGTAGTATACGATCTCATTAAAATCAGATCTAGGATCTCGCTGCCGCTAAACAAAGATCTGAGGACATCCCCTTACGGGTCACGTCAGAACGAGCTTTCGCGAACTTTGACCGACCACTGAAATGACTAACATAAAGTCGACATCAGCCAATTAGAAAGCAGCTTTCTTGAGCTTTACGGCACTCGTTTCAACCTGGCGACTTCCATTTCAGACAACGCTTGAAAAATAAGTTGACACAGTTCTCGATTACAATTTTGAAAACTGAACAAACGAACATTCCGAAATGTCTAATATATGGCTGAGATTGTATGGCAGTGCTTCCCACGTATTGTGCAACGCCTCCACCGTTTAAATGTTTATCCTACGGAAGGGAGAGATAGACCATAATTTTGACGGAATCAGTCGTATGGGCCGTAACTGTCGTTCGGAATACCCCGTGTTGACGTTTTCGAGGTTGTATGATTAGAAAACACATTCCGACTGTCACTTTCATGATCTGGTAAGCCACGCTTTGATTGGGCGGGTGAAAGGTCGTTCTGACGTGACCCGTAATGGGATGTCCTCAGATCTTTGTTTAGCGATAGCGCGAACTAAGATCTGATTTTAATGAGATTGAGTAGTATAGATTTTACATATGTAAACATTGCCATATGTACCAGAATCTTCATTTTATGTTTCTTTTGACTGGACTCCATATGGATGTGTACTGACTTAAGACTAACCCGTTCTTGTCATGTGTGTGTTTATTTTGTATCAGTGTATATAACCATTGTCTCAATGCCTGAACATTTTGAGCATTTTTTGGAGAACATTTTTATCATTTTAGATTTTTACAATGTGCTTTTGTGCAATTTGGTACAAAGGCCCCTTGGTGCCATACCCATGTTTATGCCATTTGAAATAAAAAGCAATGTTTTGTATGTGATAGTGAAATGTTATGCTTCTATCTACTTTCTACTTTACTCTCTGAGCTATTAATTCTCATTAAGTACTAGGCTAATGGAAACCTTTGCTGGAAGAAGTGATGCAGCTTTCTTACACTGAGCTGGCTATGGAACTAGCTTGCATACACTTTAACCACGAGCTACTGGCCTGCCGCCCTATATGCTGGTAGGTGCATGGTTGCTGTTTTGATTACATTCAATATTTCAACTGTATGAGGCGGCCTGTTGATCAAGTCTGATGTTATGAGCATCCATCCATATTTAAGAGCGGTTCCAGCAGTTTTAAAAGGAAGGGGTCCAAAGTATCAAAATCCTCGAGGGGGTGGGGGCATTGTGTCAACACACTACATTTGGTTTTTAGAAGGGGGGTTCCGGGACCCCTGGACCCTGACTCTAGATCTGCCTGTGATATTGGTTATTGGTTAGGATGATGCCCTATCCACTAAATCACAGAGACGCATCCATTAATTGCTTCTTCAGACACACTTAATGTTTTTTGTATTGTAAATCGATTAACGCGGTCTGTAAATAATCGAGTCTGCACCAGAAATCAAGTGATTGACATCATGAGCATCAATGAACGCAATTGGGATACGATGACATGCTTCAACCAAGTCAGCGAGCCTGACCACCCGATCCCCTTAGTTGCCTCTTAGGACAAGCATAGTAGCTTTTTACGGCAAGCATGGGTTGCTGAAGATCTATTCAACCCCGGATCTTCACGGGTCACACACTTAATTAAGTAGCTGGTCCCCATGAGAGCTGGTATATGTTTAGAAGTGTGATATGTAATACACAAAGTTTATGAAATTCGACCCTGAGGCAGATTACAGATAACAATTAAAAATACTTGGAGTAAGCTAATCCTTTTATAGGCCAGTAATTTTGGTTCCAACTTTTATGTGTTTGTGTGTGCGTATGTAATATGTGCGTGCGTGCGTGTTAGTGAATGTGTGCGTCGTGTAAACTATAACTGAAGTCTGAGTGTTATTTCGAAAACAGTGGAATCTCTTATGACCCCACACACAGTGGCCTGCCTCTGTCAACGTTTCACTAAGGGCACGTTGTAAGGGGAACAACTCTACACCGCTGGAAACCAGCCAAACACTTTAAGTATATGCGAAGTTCGATTGCTATTTATAACTCGCAAATGTTTTAGAAATTCCCCTACAACATCCCACTATGAAATCCAGAATAAGTTCATATTGTTTCCATGGGTATTGTGAACAAGGGACTGGATGAGAGCAAATACGATAACATCATACTTAAAACAAACATATTTGTCTTCATATAGTCGTGTATTATAAAAAAAAGCCTTGGTTGAAGATATGTTTTCCGGGGACATCTTCTTTGTTTGTTGTCTAACGCCGCACTCAGCAATATTCCAGCTATATGACGGCGGTCTGTAAATAATCGAGTCTGGACCAGACAATCTAGTGATTAATATCATGACTATCGATCCACGCAATTGGGATCGATGGCATGCATCAACCAAGTCAGCGAGCCTGACCACCCGATCCCGTTAGTCGTCTCTTACAGCAAGCATCGGTTGCTGAAGATCTATTTCTAACCGGGATGTTATATATCGAATATCTTGTATCACAATCAGTTGATAGTGATTCATAAACACAAGCTAATGCCGGAATCGCACAACGGGTTTTTGTTATAATTATGGAAATAGCTTTGGCGCTTTTTTAAGGACATTAAATATCATTCCGTCAGAATCGTGCAAAGCATGGGTGTGTCTGTTAAACATGTCGCAATGTATTGAAATAAACGAGGGCATTGATACACTGACGTAGATCGAGGTCAGTCAGTTCACTGAAGCGTTCCCACTTTGTCGTGTGTGTTGACTTCCGGGTCTACCCGTCCATTGGTGATAGATGCACTGTACACTTGACAACTTGGAGCATTGACAGCACACACTGGAGATTAATGGAATCTCGGGGCTGTTTTTCTCAACTTTTGTGTTGTTGGGGAGAGTCAACATCTCAACCCGAACTAACTCCTTTCACGCCCCTTCCTAAACATAGAGAAATAAGTAAGTATGATTTCATTTGACAATATCTCATTCATAAAATATTGTTGGACACCGAGACCACTTATTGAATACAGCGTTATTTAGTGACAAGGGGCGGTCGGGTAGCCTAGTGGTTAAAGCGTTCGCTCGTCACGCCGATGACCCGGGTTCGATTCCCGACATGGGTACAATGTGTGAAGCCCATTTCTGGTGTCCCCCGCCGTGATATTGCTGGAATATTGCTAAAAGCGGCGTAAAACCATACTCACTCACTCACTATTTGGTGACGGGGTGTGTTAACCCAATAATGCGTTGTGACAGTGCGAGTGAGACTATTGTCCTTGTAGGTAACACCGTCAAAACGTCAAGGTCAAGGCCACCGTTATAATACTGTTGGCTGTAGTGATTGTACCGTTCCATCGTTAAAGTCCAAGAGTAATATGTGAAGGAATGGACAACCGTCCTGAATGTATGTATCAATGGCACTGAGATCAAAGATGAGTTTCAGTTTTCCATTTCGCTTTGAGAAGTACATGTAATCTAAATGATGTTTTGAATAGATGGAACCAATTTGAAATTTCATTCGTTTATCGTAGAGCATGTAATCCTCCGGGCGATGTACGACTTTAAAGCGATTGAAGAAGACGACCTCTCATTCAGTCAAGGAGATCTTCTCAAGAAAGAGAACCCTGGGTCAGTATACATTACCACACAGTGTAACCTCAAGTGTCCGTGGTTCGAATACCAGATACGCCATGACAATGATTCGTAGGTTTTGCAAAAGTTGTAATGGAAGCCACTGATGGCACCACCAGGCGGATCTGTTGTCATGGCAGCAGATGACTTCACTCCCTGACTTTCCGTCATCAGACCCGTAAATATCCGGGTAGAATAGGTCTTCAACCCATTCTTGCCGTAAAAGGCGACTATGCTTGTCGTAAGAGGCGACTAACGGGATCGTGTGGTCAGATGCATGTCATCCTATCCCAAATTGCTTGGATGAATGCTCATGATGTCAATCGTTGGATTGTCTGGTTCAGACTCGATTATTTACAGACCGCTGTCATATAGCTTGAATATTGCTGAGTGCGGCGTAAAACAACAAACAAACAAATTGTTCAGTCATCCATTCATATTATTTACATCGCTATTTTGCCTTTTACGCCCAGTGGAATCCGTTTTGTCGGATAAACGAGGCTAGTCATTCTCTTGCGTTGACGTTTTAAAGTTTGATGACGTCATTGTATTTCGTTGTAGCTCCATAAATAGGCAAAACAATGTGAGTAAGTTATGTGCGTCTTTGAAATTCCAGTATAATGAAAAGATACAAATGTACATTTATTTTGTTCCCGCTGGTATGATTATTGGCATAATAGGATTGTATGTAACATTATGGAATGACAACACACATGGTGTTGACCTATTTCACCAAGAACCAAGACCAGGATTCTATTATTTGTTCTCAGTGACACATCCGCGTGGGTGGTTTGCATCAACATGAGAAATGGAAATAAAGGATTCGTTCCTATCGAGTATGTCCAACTTGCTGACACATCTCCCAATGGTCCTGAGTAAGTAGCCACCAACCAGTTATTGTTATAATCAGACTGGGAATGGGACTAGTGGTCAGGACATCAGAATTTTAAAAAATCTGAATTTTCCTTTCGCCACTTAACACTATATAAGTTTGGTTGTTTGGTCTCAGAAGGGAGTTGAGACTACAATAAAAATACACACAGATCCACTGACTGTGGTGATGGTTCCATGTGCCTTGAACATCAATTCCCACAGCACTATTCCCATGTGCGAGGGGTTCACATCTTCCCGAGGCAAGTGAGTTAACTGACTATAAAAGTCCAGTTTCCACCCTTGCCGAACTAGGCTGGTATTATGGAGTTACATTTTGGCTGGACTAACGAGTCTATGCATAGTCCAATCAAAATCGCGCACCGAAATCGAAATCCGGTTCGTAAAGTGTCATGCAGATTTCGGTCGACTGCAGGATTTGCAAAGCATGTGCACCGCTAGCTCGTTGTCAAGAGATATTTTCTTAATCTTTTCCTGTTTTTAATCAAGGTGCTCACGTGATTTGATGCACTTCGCGATGTAAGACTCGTTTTATCACAATATAGATCTTGATTATCGATCAGATCGCCTTGACTGGGCGCCACCGTTTTGTTTGAAACAAATGCAAGTGATACGAGAGGTGGAATCTAATTGGTCCATAGGAGAGGCATAGAAGGGACATAACTCGTAATAGCCACTGGTGGCACTACGATCGAGCCCAGGAATTCCAGCCTTGTCCGGCAAGGGTGGAAACTGGACTTTTAAAGTCAGTTAACTCCCTTGCCTCGGGAAGATGGGGGTTCAAGAAACTGGTTAACGTCAAGGACCTGCTCCCCTTTGAAGCTGCCTTTTTGATAAAACGAGTGAGTGAGTGAAGGAGTATGTTTTTACGCCGCTTTTAGCAATATCCCAGCTATATCACGGCGGGGGACACCAGAAATGGGGTTCACACATTGTACTTATGTGGGGAATCGAATCCGGGCCTTCAACGTGACGAGCGAACGCTTTAACCTATATGCTACCCCACCGCCCCTGACAACACGAAGTCTTATGGTAGGTCGTGAACGTTCTGACGCTGTTTCAAATGCCAGCGTTACAATATGTTCCAGCTGGTGGTTTGACTGTAGCAGGAGCCAGGCAGAGGCATTACTGATGAGATACGAGGTGGCCATTGGAAGTTTCCTGGTCAGGGGGTCGCTATGTCGTGAGTATCTGCTAAAAACGTTCTAATGTATGTTTTCAGGGTCCGGGAGTCTCTCTCCAGCGTATAATTCATCAAGTATGAAAATTGTTGATGACGACATTCTCAGATCAGATTAAACCACAAGAGGTCAAAGTGCCCTAATTCAAGAGATTCAAAACGGCCTCATGTCACAACGACCTCAAAACTCAAAACAGATAATTCAAAATGGCCGCAAACACATAGTCAAAACAGCCACAACAAAAAAATGAAAATAATGTGAGCTGGATGTGTACAGAGCATATATGTCAGATGTTGTTATTAATAACAAATGAATATCCAATGTGACAATATCCAACAGTATGATAATTAAGCTGGTGGAAGGAGCTGGAATGGCATGGGCTTTTACGCAATCCTGGTGTAGCAGGGCGTGGAGTCATCCAACAGATGTCAGCTTGCTGACGGGCTTAAACTCTTTAGTCATGTGGATAAGGCGCCCGACCTCTGCTCAGAAGGTCCGTGGTTCGAATCCCATCACGGGACTCGGAAATTTTATGGTCGCTACACTGGCAAGCTGCAGTTGTGACCTGCATGTGTTCAAATGTGCTTCGCAATATGTTGTTCCGGTTTTCGGCTAACAGTATGTTGATACTTCTGACGGAATGAACGATTTATCAATCTAATTCATGATATTTTAAAGTTAATAGCACAAGTTTAACTGTTTTTTGTACACTTGTGTCCAAAATAAATGATCCAGCGATTAGGACGCGTAATGTTCACACCCTGACGCGATCGTTGGACTTGCCATGGGCAATGGTTTTACTTGTCCGAATATCTTTTTCCGCGAATTGATCGCGACCTGGTCGCGAGTGAAGGGAGTGTCTTTTGAACAGTAGTGCCAACATAGTTGACCATGTTTTAACACATGTACCCTGCCTCACAAAGTTATCAAAAAGTTATAGGCGACAAAACCTTTTCCACATTCATAAGAAATCTCTGCCAAAAGCAGAGTTGACTGTACGATTCCGACTATAGCTTGTGTTTGTGAATCACTATCCACGAAAAGTGGTTGTAAGGCGAAAGCATGACGATACCTATACACGATTACATTAAATGTACAGGTCACGGCATCCTGGTTTTCAGAAAACAGCGTATTGTCCATCAAATATCTGCAAGATGCTGGGGAAACACAGTGTGTATTTCATTACAAGATACGGCTAACAGATGGTGGGGAGAGATGTATATCACCGAGGAAGATCTTCCCTGACCTCATCTCTCTGGTGGCACATTATAGAGGTACGTCAAAGTAGAAATATCTTGTTGAATAGCGCTTAGAAGTCGAGAACGCTTCATGAACACTGCGTCCCGTCGGACGTTCGGAACTAATAATTTTCATTTTCACTAAACAATTTCAGTTTTTACTTGATTTAGCCTGCTGGTTTCATTGCTTACAGTATGTCATTTTAGTTTAGACAATAAACATAATTATGATTTCACGACAACGATCATGACAGTTCCTGATACGTGATACGATATCCTGACAATTCCTGAAACGAGATACGATATCCTGACAAGTCCGTAAACGAGATACGATATCCTGACAAGTCCTTAAACGAGATACGATATCCTGACAATTCATAGAACGAGATAAGATACCCTGACAATTCCTGAAACGAGATACGATATTCTGATAATTCCTGAAACGAGATACAATATTCTGACAATTCCTGAAACGAGATACGATATTCTGATAATTCCTGAAACGAGATACGATATCCTGATAATTCCTGAAACGAGATACGATACCCTGACAATTCCTGAAACGAGATACGATATTCTGATAATTCCTGAAAGGAGATACGATACCCTGACTATTCCTGAAACGAGATACGATACCCTGACAATTCATGAAACGAGATACGATATCCTGATAATTCATGAAAGGAGATACGATACCCTGACAATACCTGAAACGAGATACGATACCCTGACAATCAATGAAACGAGATACGATATTCTGATAATTCATGAAAGGAGATACGATACCCTGACAATACCTGAAACGAGATACGATACCCTGACAATCAATGAAACGAGATACGATATTCTGATAATTCATGAAAGGAGATACGATACCCTGACAATTCCTGAAACGAGATACGATATTCTGATAATTCCTGACACGAGATACGATATCCTGATAATTCATGAAACGAGATACGATATCCTGACAATAATTCATGAAACGAGATACGATATCCTGACATTTTCTCATACGAGAGAAACAGAGATTTAAGTAAAACTAGGGCTGCTCTGTTCCGAAAGAATACATTGGCAACAAATGTACATATACCGTATTCGACGTAGTAAGCGCCCAGGGCGCTCTCGAAATTAGAAATAGGTGGCTCTTATTAGAATATTATTTTGGTGAAAATAACAGAGTTGAAAGATACATTTCGTGGTTTATGCTGACAGCCTGAAGTGTTTATGTACGACAGATATATTTTTCCAGAATTTAATTGCCCATTATTAAGGGTGCATATAACACACGAGTGCGTATTATACGCGAATAAATAAATCTTGTGTACATTGATCAATCGGAAGGGGTGCTAATTGGGCTTGTTCACTAGCCAATATATTAGCAAATGTCGCCGTGGGCGCTTATTAGAGAGGGGTGCTTATTACGTCGAATACGGTACATAATATAGACAAACACTTAAAGACGACTGTGTTGTGTAGGTAAGACTGTACCATCATGCTGATGTTGATCTTATTGTTACGAGTTTGCCACAGATAGTCTCCTAATAGGGTGTAATGTATTCCAACTCTGATGTATGTTGTCATGCATGTTACAAAATACAAGAGACTTTTGCAGCATATATTAAAATGAGTGAGTGAGTGAGTTTAACGCCGCTTTTAACAGTATTCCAGTTATATCGCGGCGTGTCAGCTTAATGTGGGGGGAAAGCCCGAAGTGATGCAGGTCTCAGACGTTTACCACTTCAGTGAAACCCACGAGCACGGGTATGGTGCTGACAAACCTAGAAACATAATCGGGGCGAACCGGGATTCGAACCCACAATCATAGTTTTCTGGCGTGCCCAAGGGACGCAACTCTGCACAGCGAATCACGGCGCCTTAGACGACTGGGCCAACCGTGCCCCCTTAAAATGAATGATTCCATCGCCATCAAACTGGATGTATAAATATATTAAAAGAGAGAGCACCTCGAAAGTGGATTAACTTTTTCCAGTACTAATCTGTGTTGTCAGGGCTTTAATAGATGACTTGCTAATATTTTGTTTTGAGGACTACTTACTCGTGAACGTGATTAGTAATTAGCTATCTTCCTGCGTTGTTTACAGAGCATCAAGATTGCTTGAAGTGTCGTTTGACCGTCCCGTGTCGAAGGTGGCCGCCCATTATACACCTTCGTACTGTAGTGATTTTACTTTCGCGAACAATATGGTGATTAACTGCCCTGATGGTTTCGCCAATTAATAGTGTGATCGTCCGGCACGATCTGCGTAGTGTTATTCTAAAATGCGGTCCGCGACTGTTAGCTCAGAACTAGGGATTTTACCTTTCTCGAAGCTTCGTTGCAGACGATCCCTTTTCCGGCAGCGCTCGGCCACGTGCACCTCGGCCTCGGCTGCCCGAACACTTCCGAGGGAAACCGAATGTCTCCGACGGAAGTAGAGATCGTCTCACACAACAGTACTATGAAGATCCAGAGAGAGCATCAGTCTGAGTGAAACACTGGCAGAGGACGTGTGGCGAGGTGGGGTAATTGATGACGTCAGCTTCTTAACGTGTACTTAAACATGTCTGATGATAAATACTACAATAACCGAAATGCTAACTATCAATGATGGACTGACTTTATTGTAGATATGATCAAGTAAAGGAATTAATTCTGGTGTTAACTCCCGTCGCGATAAGGACGATATGGGTGTCTTCCAACAATGCTGGTTAGGTATAAACATATGCACTGTGAGTGAGTGAGTGAGTGAGTGAGTGAGTGAGTGAGTGAGTGAGTGAGTGAGTTGGGTTTAACGACGCTTTAACATTATTCCAGTTATATAACGGCGTGTCAGCTTAATGTGGGAGGAAAAGCCCGAAGTGATGCAGGTCTCAGACGTTTACCACTTCGGTGAAACCCACGAACACGGGTATGGTGCTGACAAACCTAGAAACATGAACCGGGATTCGAACCCACAATCATAGGTTTCTGGCGTGTCCAGGGGACGCAACTCTGCACAGCGAATCGCGGCGCCTTACACGACTGGGCAAACCGTGCCCCCTCACACAAGCACTGTAACAATGTTAATTGAATTAACATGAATCTACAGGAACGCTGTATGGAAAACTAGACATTGCGGCGAAAAAGATGACACGAAGGGACAATATTGAAAATGAGTATAATATGGTATCGACAATGAAAGCACTCCGTCACGTCCGCTTGGTGCAGCTCCTGGCTGTGTGTGTAGACTTTGAACCAATGCTTCTCATCATGGAGTACATGTCTAACGGATCTCTGCACGACTTCCTCAGGGCAAAGGACCGTCCTAACCTGGAGTTTAACATGGCGAAAAACATGTGTGGGCAGGTGAGGTGATCTTTTTCAAAGGCTTTCATAAAAGTTTTCTATTGTAAAAGGATATTGTTTCCTGGGGGATTTGATGGCGACTCGTGAGCAAAATCTTTAAAATATTAATAGTGAGTGAGTAAGTATGGTTTTACGCCGTTTTTAGCAATATTCCAGCAATATCACGGCGGGGGACACCAGAAATGGGCTTCACACATTGTACCCATGTCGGGAATCGAACCCGGGTCCTCGGCGTGACGAGCGAACGCTTTAACCACCAGGCTACCCGACCGCCCCTAAAATAAGAGTAATAAGAGTGGTAGCACATGTGCAAGTTTGTTTCAAAATGATGACAGTTGATCACACGATAGTTTCATTCAAAAGTTATGCATTAGAAATATGTTGTTCCTCTTCAGTCCTGTTTTACCGTCAGGGGTACCCATATGCCGATGGCATTGCCAACCTCTTGATTACTCCAGGAAGTTTTGTTTGTTTGTTCTTTAACGCCGCACTCAGCAATATTCCAGCTATATGACGGTGGTCTGTAAATTATCGAGTCTGGATCAGACAATCCAGTGATTGACATCATGAGCATCGATCCTGGCAATCGGGATCGATGACATGCATGATCCAAGTCAACGAGCCTGACCACCCGATCCCGTTAGTACATTACATATATTTTGTCTGTTTGTTGTTTAACGCCGTACTCAGCAATATTCCAGCTATATGACGGCGGTCTGTAAATTATCGAGTCTGGATCAGACAATCCAGTGATTGACATCATGAGCATCGATCCTGGCAATCGGGATCGATGCCATGCATGATCCAAGTCAGCAAGCCTGACCACCCGATCCCGTTAGTACATTACATATATTTTGTCTGTTTGTTGTTTAACGCCGCACTCAGCAATATTCCAGCTATATGACGGTGGTCTGTAAATAATCGAGTCTTGATCAGACAATCCGGTGATTGACATCATGAGCATCGATCCTGTCAATCGGGATCGATGACATGCATGATCCAAGTCAACGAGCCTGACCACCCGATCCCGTTAGTACATTACATATATTTTGTCTGTTTGTTGTTTAACGCCGTACTCAGCAATATTCTAGCTTTATGACGGTGGTCTGTAAATAATCGAGTCTTGATCAGACAATCCAGTGATTGACATCATGAGCATCGATCCTGGCAATCGGGATTGATGACATGCATTTATGATTTATGCTTTGACGGTTATGAAATTGCCTGCTTCACACACCGGTTGAATTACACGGTTCCCCTTTCTCTTTTTTGTTTTGTTTGTTTGTTTGTTGTTTAACACCACACTCGGCAATATTCCACCTATGTGACGGCGGTCTGTAAATGATCGAGTTTGGACCAGGCAATCCAGTGATATCATGATATGATATCATGAGCATCGATCCCCGAAATTGGGATACGATGACATGCATCAACCAAGTCAGCCGGTCTCATGGAAACGGAAAACGGGAAATCGCTTCATTGAAATCAGGGCGATGTGAGGTCGTCTTCCAACACGTGCCCGAGACTCCTGCATTTGAATGATGTAAATCCTTTGGCAGCAGGGTAAGAGTCGCGACCCTTAGACGTGCCAGGATCCTATAACAGTGCGTTCCAGTCCCACATTCACCCTGAGTATTAGGACCGCCTCCGTGGTCTAGTGGTAGAGCTTCCGCCCGGAGAGCGGAAGGTCCGGGGTTTGATCACCGGCCGCGTCATACCAAAAGACGTTAAAAGATGGTACTTGTTGTGACCCTGTCTGGCGCTCGGAATTACGGGGCTAAAACAAGGACTGGTCGGCCCGGAGTCAGTATACTGTGTCTGAGTGGGATATTCATGTTAAACTGCGGCATGGCATCTCAGTGAGCTAGCACTATAAATCGGCATCAGTCCGGACTAGTACAAGCAGCCACACACACACACACACACGTACATGCACGTCGCTATATAAGTGCAATAATCTTGGACGCGACGTTAAACCTCACCTCACCCTGATTATAATCCTTGATATGTCAACACCATACCATCATCTTAGGTTTCAGCAAAGGGGTAAACGTCTTACACCTGCGTCTTAAACCTGCATCACTTCGAACCGTCATCCCATATTAATCTGACACTAAACTTATTCACCCACTCGACGTCTTAGCGAAACAGTAACAGAGGTATCTCCGAACCTTGTCTGTACCCAATAGTAAGGTTGTTTCTATTGTATATAGATTGCAGAAGGAATGGCGTTCCTGGAATCCAAATCCTACATCCATGGCGACCTGCGGTCAGCCAACATCTTAATTGGAGAACACCACACTGTAAAGATCGCATATGCATGGCAAGGAAAGGAGGACACACAGGAGTGTGTGGATGGAGGTATTGCTGGCATGAACATCCATAAAGGCACAAACCTAACGTTATCATAGTAAAGCCGCTTTTATCATCCAAAAGTGGCCCCCACAGGAGATATCGCTTGGATTAGATCAAGCGATATCTACACTGTAGATATCACTTCAATGAAATTACATCACAATGCTTTGAAGACCATTGTGACGTCACTGGTTACCATGACGTCACAATCAAATGACATCACTAATGGCTCTGCTACTGAAGCTGTTAGCAGTACTTTTTACACTGAAGTCACTGCTAATTACTGTCTACATATTGAAAAAGTTGGAAGAATGATGTTGGATGATAAATAGAGAATCTCACCCGAGTGTCTTTTGATATCAAATATATCAACACGAGTTGATAAAAGTGGAAAAATTCCGAGGCTTGCCGAGGATTTTTGCCACTTTTATCAATGAGTGTTGATATATTTGATATCAAAAGACACGAGGGTGAGATTCTCTATATATCATGGGTTTCAATCAATATGATTTTGTTACTTGTTGAGGTTAGAAATAACTCACTGGTATTGAGTGAGTGAGTATGGTTTTACGCCGCTCCTAGTAATATTCCAGCAATATCACGGCGGGGGACACTAGAAATGGGCGTCAGACAACGTACCCATGTCGGGAATCGAACCCAGGTCTTCGGCGTGACAAGCAAACGCTTTTACCTCAAGGCTACCGACCGCCTCCAAACATGAAGCATGACAGCCATTATAGTCAATACAAATAAGTAACAAAATTACTTGAAGATCACAAAACGCTCATTAAAAGGTCTTCAGTCGATGGTTATCTCTTGGTTTTTGAGATTAGAATTTAGTATTTTTTATAAATGATCATGCAAATTAATATGAATAATTTGAATGTCTTTGATATGAATATTATGTAGAAAATCGGTATCCAACCAAATGGATGGCACCCGAGGCTGCATTATACAATAAGCGAGGTATCAAGTCCGACGTGTGGTCATTTGGTGTCCTTATGTACGAGATTGCCTCTTCAGGGATCATACCTTACAGTCCAAGTAAGTCATGGATAGAAGCAGCTTTGCGTTTTCGGGAAGACGATCTATTATGCGTTGTAACATAATACTCGTGTTCTCAGAAAACACAAAAACAACTTTATGATAGACCTGTTGTTATCTTTAGAGTGAGTGAGTGAGTATGGTTTTACGCCGCTTTTAATAATATTCCGGGGGACACGAAAAATGGGCTTCACACATTGTACCCATGTCGGGAATCGAACCCGGGTCTTCGGCGTGACGAGCGAACGCTTTAACCACAAGGCTACCCGACCGCCCCTGTTATCTTTAGACGCTGAATGCAATGCAATACTCACAGTGACGTGAACAGTTTACTTTGACTGTCCATGAAATGGGTATTATATTGATGATTGTTTTGTTTGTTTGTTGTTTAACCCCGTACTATGAAATATTCCAGCTATATGACGGCGGTCTGTAAATAATCGAGTCTTGACCAGACAATCCAGTGATTGATGATTGATAATTGACACGATGCAGATGCAATGACTAGATGGCCATTTCAAGTCTCTGGTTATCACATATAACAACATCCCATCAAACTATCAAATGCGCAGCATGCATAGAATTAAAAGCGACAAAAACCGTTAAAACATCTGCTGAAAAGAGTCAATAGTATGATTCCGACCATATCATGAGCATGTGTTCACTACCTAGTAGTGATGATAACAGGTGTTCGTGAAAAGGTGGGCGTATCCTGCTCCTACAGGTGGCACCCATCACAAACACATACAAAGGCAAGTCAATTGTTCATCTGAAAAAGCACGAGTCGAGTCACTTTTGTCACTGTGTCAAATATGGAAATGTCCTCCACACTTTTGGAAATCTTTTCTGAAGCCTTGAATGTTCAAACACAGATCACAGAACCTTTGAGCAAGAGTTGCATGACGCTCTTTGAAATCTTCGTAGAAAGAGCATGCTCGATTGTTCTTCAAAAGTTAGAAATGTAAACACCAAAAGCAAGAGCTGCTGGAATATTTCTCTATATGCATGCCTTTTGCCATGTATTGTGAAGTATTAAATCATATAAAGAAGAGAATTTATGGATGTCAACTTCTTTATTGTGAGGAACACAACGTTTCGGAGTATATGCTTACACCTTCAACAGGTGAATGAATGCCATGAGGCAGAGAGCGTATACATGTACATGTAAGGACAACAAAATTGATAAGATGACAAAAGGTGGAAAATAACAAAGGGTAGAAACTAATAAGGGAAGCCAATAGATGATTCGCTCTGATATGTGATTAGCATTGTAACATAAAAGTAGGTATGTTCCCTGATATGATTGGTTAAAAAGTGTTGTCGAATGAGCATAACATCGCTGAATTTTTGGGGTCTCATCACCGTGTATGTATACATTAATTAATGGAACTATTTTTGAAATCATCAACATGGAGGAACAGATGGAAATTTACCCCGACTTCCACATCGGAGATTTCGATGAAATATTGAGTGAATGGGGCGACGTGACATTTTCTGAGATAATTCAAGAATTTGAAGGTAAATGAAATTTACCTTTTTCCATTAATTACAAAATCATAATCATAATTAATGTAATTTTCTTGGGCTTGGCCAAAGGAAAAACAAAACAAAATCATTTTTTAACAGAGTAAAAAACATTTATTGCAACTCTATAATAGTTATGACTTTCATACACACACCTAATTTTGTTCTTATTATAACCCACAACAGCTGTTGAAGCTGGAAACCGTTCTGAGATGGCCCCTGAACTAGGAAATACAGCCAGCGTTTCCGTAGAGCCCAAAATTCAAGCGTCCAGTCACCGCTTCGCGTCCCTTGATGAAAAAGCAGTACAGGACATCGTGGATGGGAACCTCTCCAAATCTACTGGGAGTAAAAATATTTCGACGTAAGCCATTGAAACATAAAAGAATACATAAACACATACCAAAATTTCCTACGCAGATTCGATCAACATCAGCGAGAGTTACCTCCCTTACACCATTGCCATAATAGCAATGTAAAGCGTGACCAATGTGTCATCGCAAAAATTGGCAATAATATAACGAGATTGACCAAAATCTTAACATAAATTAAATATTTCGTTTTGTAAGATTTGAGATATGTTATACTAAATGGATATACGGAAATTTCATTTAAACACGACACCGTAATAATAACGAATTACTCCCACTTACCGTCACATTTGTACCCTGAACAAGGCAATCTTTTCACTTCCAGAATGGCTTGGTTTCCGAGGTTTTGAACGCACGTTCGAAGAGCTTCCTGCTTTTCAACTGAATGAGAGACTGAGGTTCTTTTATGCCGAAGTCAGAAATGCTGAGAGAGACCTTTACTCAAAATCGAGTTTTGTTGGGTTGCGTGCTGCCATACACAGGCACATCAGGGGACCGCCATTTGAGCGCAGCATAAACATTATCCAAGACCGGGAATTTCACACTGCAAACTGCCGTCACTTTGCTGTCAAACGCAGGTATTGAAAATCGCGAGAATTGCAGAATTAACGGCCACAAAACCGATGAATCGTTGAGGTCGTATTCCATTGACTCGAGCTCGTCTCCAAAACGACATTATTCGAACATTTTTCAGGGACAGCAGCAGCTCGCTAACGAACGTAATTTGGTACCTGTCAAAGATACAAATATCCTGCCACTGTCCACTGCTCCCGTGAATAATTTCCAGGTTAATTATTCTGCTAATTTCCACGGTCACTCTCACATATGTTATTCCACTGTAACAGTAAACAACTTTTTCAATCCCAGCTAAGCTGCATGTCTGAAATTTCGCACATGTTTGACGTCTCTTGTCACCACCTCAGTTTCAGGCGAGTTGACACTATCTTGTACAGGGGCCAAACAGTATGTACATCTTTTCTAATTTTGATTATTTGTATTTCATAGATACGCATAACTACAAATTACAAGTAAGATGGGGAACTGTGATAAAGAATTGAATTTGTGATATTTCCTGTTGTTTGTTTATTTTCTGAGAAATGGGCTTGAACATGTGACCACCCCTTTCGTAAAATGGATCCTCATTATTGGAGTACCTCGAAACCATTGATCGGTTTCGCGGCACCCCATATCATGCATCTTTTTCGAAGGTGAGCACGAGGAGACGTATTACTAACGACAGTCTTGTTGTGTCATGCGCTCAGTAAATGAGTTCCTCCTAAATATCGATTTTAATTAACGTTCATGTTACAATGTCGATAAATATTTCGTTTTGTAAGATTTGCGTGATGTTATGCTAAATGGATGTACGGAAATTTTTCATTTGAACACTTTGCCTTACGGCGTCGTGTTCAAATGAATTTTCCGTACATCCATTCAGCATAACATCACGCAAATCTTACAAAACGAAATATTTATCTCCTAAATAGACAATGGAAGTCAACACTTTACAGTAATAAGTGCTGATGGTATGGAGGCTAGTACTTCAGTTATCATAGATAAGTAATGGGTGATGCAAACGGGAGGCCGGGGGTAATTAGCACTGATAGGTGAAAGAATGGACATAGCAAAGGGCAGCTAGGCATTCATTCACCTGATGAAGGAGTAAGCGTATACTCCGAAACATTGTGTTCCTCATAATAGTTAGTGAGTATGGTTTTACGCCGTTTTTAGCAATATTCCAGCAATATCACGGCGGGGGACACCAGAAATGGGCTTCACACATTGTACCCATGTCGGGAATCGAACCCGGGTCTTCGGCGTGACGAGCGAACTCTTCTTAATGACTTTCAAAGTCCTATTAAATCATAGTTCTAACTCAGTCATAACTTGTTGATAGTCATGTGGCTGGACGGGTGACCCAGTCGTCTAATTCACTACAATTCACTGTTTAGAATCATGTCCCTTAGACAGCCAGGATCCTGCGATCATGGGTTCGAATCCCAAATTCGCACCGTTTATAATCTTTGATTTGTCAGCATCATACCCATGATCTTGGGCCGAAGTGGTAAATAGTTACTATTATCTTCTTCTTCAGTTGTGAATCTACACAAGGTATTTCGTGAGATTGAAGAGGGGTATCGCCTTCCTAAACCCGCAACCCACTGGCCTCCTGAACAGCTCGACCGCTACTATGACATCATACAACAATGCTGGAAACACGATCCGTCGGACAGGCCTTCATTTCGTCCATGTACAAGAGCAACTGGTTGACTTGTAAAGAAAGATTTAGTTTGTTTTTGTCCAATTGAAAGGGATGAAGAAACTGAAGTCACATCCTTGATTTTCTTGGCGGTAAAATATCAACAGAATATTTTATGTGTTTGTTCGTTTAACCCTGCACCCAGAATTATCCCAGCTATATGACGTCGGCCTGTAAAAAATCGAGTCTGGTTCTGACAGTCCAGTTATCATCGATCTACGATGACTTGCATCAACCAAGTCAGCGAGTTTCTTAATGACCCGTGAAGATTCCTGGTTAGAATAGGTCGTCAGCAACCCATGCTTGCCGTAAAAGGCGACTATGCTTGTCGTAAAAGGCGACTAACGGGATCAGGTGGTCAGGCTCGCTGACTTCGTTGATGCATGTCATCAATCCCAATTGCGTGGCTCTATGTTCATGATATTAATCACTGGGTTGTCTGGTCCAGACTCGATTATTTACAGACCGCCGTCCTATAGCTGGAATATTGCTGAGTGCGGCGTTAAACAACAAACCAACCAACCAACTTAATAGAAGTATAACAATGTAAGTGTAACATAATTGCTTCTGCATAACTGCTTGACTGCTTCTGAGTGTAGGAGTATATCATATCAAATTTTCAATATACATACATTGTCCCTTCCTTCCTAGGGCGGACGAGTGAGTGAGTGAGTTGGGTTTAGCGCCGTTTTGAACAGTATTCCAGTTATATCACGCCGCGTAAGTTTAATGTGGGAGGAAAGCCCGAAATGATTCATATCTCAGACGTTTACCACTTTGGTGAAACCCACGACAAACCTAGAAACAAAATCGGGCTGAACCAGGAATCTAACCCACGATCATATGTTTCTGGCGTGCCCACGGGACTCTGCATAGCGAACTGATATCATTATTTAGAATGTCAAATAAGACTTGAGATGGATCGCTTAAGCATATAATCCATTCAAACAGCACATGGGGGTAACTTAAAAATATGGAAAACCTTAGAGAAAATAGCTGTGTATTTCAATGTGTATTTCTCCTATCAAACTGTGCCAAGCTGTTTGGTAAATTGCGATTATCATTTATTTTGTTACAAGGTCGTCATTAGAGTTAAAAAAGACAAAAACGATGAGGAAAAATGCTTCCTCAACACATGAAACACAGAAATACCTTTAGAGATCTCCAAAACAGAAGCAATGGCTGATAGAAGATCCAACCCGTGAAGATTCGGGGTAGAATAGGTCTTCAGCAACCCATGCTTGCCGTTAGAAGCGACTATGACTGTCGTAAGAGGCGACTAACGGGATTGTGTGGTCAGACTCGCTGACTTAGTTTGATGCATGTCATCGTATCCCAATTGCGTGGATCGATGCTCATGATGTCAATCACTGGATTGTATGGTCCAGACTCGATTATATCGAACCACCGTCACATAGGTGGAATATTGCCGAGTGTGGTGTTAAACAACAAACAAACAAACAAAACAAAAAAGAGAAAGGGGAACCGGTGTAATTCAACCGGTGTGTGAAGCAGGCAATTTCATAACCGTCAAAACGTTTTAGGAACACTAGTGTCACATCGTTAATGGTTGATGATCGTATTCATGTTGTTGTCAACGATATACATACAAACCTCTGTTCAAAAGCTTCTTCTAGTTGAGATCAGATAATGTGTATGTCGGGGCACCCAAACGAAGCTTCTATTCGTAGTTATTACAGATAAGTTTACTTGCATCGTTTTTCAGCATCAAGGACATCTGGCTTTCTGTCTAACTCAAACTTTACAGGACGTTACATCTATTTCAGCTTGATTGGATAGATTTTGCCGCAGTGGCAATTTTGCTTACTTGTCATTATAAGGGAGATCACTCACGAACGAATGTAAGGGACATATGACGTCATACACAACATAATCGTCCACATTATGTATATTGTTCCTTTTCCTTCTGAAGAAATACGATTAAACACTGGTTATTTTTATTGAAGTTATTCTAGTAGTGTCATTTCAGTAACTGTCAATATAAGCATTGAACTCGTATTTGTTGACCTTCATCAGCTGATGAAGATGGTGTATCACCGGAACAAATCTACTATGAAGCGCTTCGTGCATCATGGAATTTACTCCGTGGTGCACTGTCTTCATCAACAGATGGAATTTACTCGTGAATGGATTTACGCATGCTCATCTCATTAATAAAACTTTCGAAAGGAAATATCCCTTTGAAGCGAAAGGCGTAACATATTTATGAAAAATTAAAACTGTTTTGTCACAGAAAAAGCATCGTTCAGGAGGTCAAGGATCACCACCCGACATGTCTCAGAGGGTCAACCATAAAGATTGTGAACTAACCATTATGTCAGTTCCTTGATATAAAAACTATTTAATTATAGATCTTTGAAAGACATTTAGAATTGATGCACATAAGGAAGAGGTGAGGTGAGGTGAAATGGGGTTTAACGTCGCGTCCAAGATTATCGCACTTATATAGCGACGTGCATGTACGTGTGTGTGTTTGTGTGGCTGCTTGTACTAGTCCGGACTGATGCCGAATTATAGTGCTAGCTCACTGAGATACCATGCCGCAGTTTAACATGAATACCCCACTCAGACACAGTATACTGACTCCGAGCCGACCAGTCCTTGTTTTAGCCCCTCAATGCCGAGCGCCAGACAGGGTAACAACAAGTACCATCTTTTAACGTCTTTTGGTATGACGCGGCCGGGGATCAAACCCCGGACCTTCCGCTCCCCGGGCGGACTTCTGTCAACTTCTTTACAACGTTTCGGAGTATATGGTTATACTCCTTCATCTAACAATATTCACGGTTGCTGGAGTCAAGGTCAGAGTTAGCATATACATGTATAATATCACAAACAAAGGATCTGGAATTACTAAACCACTCTCGACTTCTGTCTACTGTATGGTCAGTCATACAGACAGCATTGCCCTGAAGGACACGCTGTAAGGGAAATACCGTTGGAATCCTGTCAAAAGTGTTGACAGTATATATGCAGAGTTACTATTTATAAAAGGTAAACAGTTTTAAAAATCCCCTGTTACGTCCCATTATGCGTGGTCAGGGTAACTGCGTATTTTTTAAGGTAAACAGTTTTAAAAATCCTCTGTAACGTCCCACTATGCGTGGCCAGGGTAACTGCGTATTTTTTAAGGGTAAACAATTTTAAAAATCCCCTGTTACGTCCCGCTATGCTTGGTCAGGGTAACTGCGTATTTTTTAAGGTTAACAGTTTTAAAAATCCTCTGTAACGTCCCACTATGCGTGGCAAGGATAACTGCGTATTTTTTAAAGGTAAACAGTTTTAAAAATCCCCTGTAACGTCCCACTATGCGTGGCTAGGTTAACTGCGTGTTAATATTCAGGGCGAGAGACGCTGTGTATAAAGCCAAGGAAAAAGTGAAAGAAATGTATGAACTGAAAGCTGCATAAAGGAACACTATGGGCCTGTCGGTTTTGTGAGAGTATTGTAATACACTTATCTAATACCATACCATACTGACGCAGGTTGAGGTAAGTAAATGCCGTGAAGCATACCCAGTTTGTTGTATGTTGACTTCCGGGTCAGGTCCCCCCTCCCAAGTTGCCTTGTATTTAATATAATACACAATGGCATATTCACACTGGAGGGGCGATGGGGTAGACTAGTGGTTAAAGCGTTTGCTCGTCATGCCGAAGACCCGGGTTCGATTCCCTACATGGGTACAATATGTGAAGCCGTCCCCCCGTGAAATTGCTGGAATAGTGCTAAAAGCGGCGTAACACCAAACTCACTCACAACATGTTACAGCTTACGTAAATGGTTTGGTGGAATATCATGGCTGTTATTTTTTCGTTGTTTGAAGAAACTCTTGCCCAAACTGACAGCTTCCAAGCGTCTCCCTTGGCCTTCAGATGCAATGTGTAAGTATCAATATATCTGTCAAAGATAGTGAATCAAGGTTTTTAAAAATAGAGATTATTATCCGATTGTTTTCTTTTTGTAAATACTCTACATCATATAATTTCAAAACACCAGAGAGAAATAATGTCTTCATCATATACTGTTATTTTTAAAATAATCGAAATTTAAGTTATGTTGCTATTCACTGTCACTTTAGAAATATAAGAATTATAGCCCAAGTGAACCGTCCCATTAATAATATAGTGCAAAATTATATGCAGCTATTGCCGTTTACGTAAACACATCGGGAAAATACTTTCTGATGATTTATTAAAGATAAAATGTGATGGGAAGATCATTGATAATACGGGTAGAAAGCAAGGGTCCGCTACTTACCAGGAAAACTGCAGATTTGCTTCCTTAGAGTTAGTTGGGATAAAGGTGGAATCTATTTCTGTTGGTATTATTAATAACAGCGATCAAGGTTACGTATATATTCCGCTTAATTCAGGATCGGCACGTGATTATACAGACATTGATAATTCATAATCATTGTGATGACATATGATAATAAAAACGACAAACCCTTTCCATGTGCGCATACAGTTTGATCTGAAACTGCCATACAGTTAGACCCGAAACTGCCATACAGTTAGACCCGAAACTGCACTAAAGATTTGACTGAGACTGTGCATGCAATTCACACTGAAACCGCTATCGCTGTTGACCAGAAACTTCGCAAACATTTCGATCTGAAGCTGCCATTTCACTTTAAGTTGTGCATTCAGTTTAACATGGAGCGTATACTAGGATAGCGTATGCAGTTTGACCCGAAATTAATTTTTCACTACTTTTGACCCGAAGCTGCCATACAGTTAGACCCGAAACTGCCATACAGTTAGACCCGAAACTGCCATACAGTTTGAGCCGAAACTGCCATACAGTTAGACCCGAAACTGCCATACAGTTAGACCCGACACTGCCATACAGTTAGACCCGACACTGCCCTACAGTTTGACCCGACACTGCCCTACAGTTTGACCCGAAACTGCAATACAGTTTGACCCGAAACTGCCATACAGTTAGACCCGACACTGCCCTACAGTTAGACCCGAAACTGCCATACAGTTTGAGCCGAAACTGCCATACAGTTAGACCCGAAACTGCCATACAGTTAGACCCGACACTGCCCTACAGTTAGACCCGACACTGCCCTACAGTTTGACCCGACACTGCCCTACAGTTTGACCCGAAACTGCAATACAGTTTGACCCGAAACTGCCATACAGTTAGACCCGACACTGCCCTACAGTTAGACCCGAAACTGCCATACAGTTAGACCCGACACTGCCTTACAGTTAGACCCGAAACTGCCATACAGTTAGACCCGACACTGCCCTACAGTTATACCCGAAACTGCCATACAGTTAGACCCGAAACTGCCATACAGTTTGAGCCGAAACTGCCATACAGTTAGACCCGAAACTGCCATACAGTTAGACCCGACACTGCCATACAGTTAGACCCGACACTGCCCTACAGTTTGACCCGACACTGCCCTACAGTTTGACCCGAAACTGCAATACAGTTTGACCCGAAACTGCCATACAGTTAGACCCGACACTGCCCTACAGTTAGACCCGAAACTGCCATACAGTTTGAGCCGAAACTGCCATACAGTTAGACCCGAAACTGCCATACAGTTAGACCCGACACTGCCCTACAGTTAGACCCGACACTGCCCTACAGTTTGACCCGACACTGCCCTACAGTTTGACCCGAAACTGCAATACAGTTTGACCCGAAACTGCCATACAGTTAGACCCGACACTGCCCTACAGTTAGACCCGAAACTGCCATACAGTTAGACCCGACACTGCCTTACAGTTAGACCCGAAACTGCCATACAGTTAGACCCGACACTGCCCTACAGTTATACCCGAAACTGCCATACAGTTAGACCCGACACTGCCCTACAGTTTGACCCGAAACTGCCCTGCAGTTTGACCCGAAACTGCATGTACAGCATTAACTGAAACTATTCACAGTTTAACCTAAAAAAATACGCATACTTTTCCTCCTGGAACTTAACATCCATTTTGACCTAAAACTGCATATAGATTATCCTTTAACTGCGCTGAATGGTTCACCTGAAACATCGCATAATTTACTCTAAAACAGCGTGTAAACTTTAACCTACACTACTGGTTCATCCTAACACTTCCCCTGCTGTTTTCGAGTCGACAATATGTTCAGAAAACAGTCCAGCTGTGTTACTAATGTACCTACGGAAGCCTTTTAGGGTAATTTTTTTCTTGAAATTTCAAGATACTAAGTTGAAAATTGAAGATGCTGTGTTGAAATTTCAAGATACTAAGTTGAAATTTCAAGATACAAATTAAGTTGAAATATCAAGATAATGTTCTTGAAATTTCAACAGAACATCCTGAAATTTCAACTTAGTATCTTAAAGAAAAAAACTAAAACAAATGGCCCTAAAAGGGTTCCGTATATTTCTGCTCGTCGATATTTATTTGGCAAAATAGACACATAGCATACACATTTCTATTTTTTTAATTCTCATCCACTGGGAGGCCTGAATCCCCGGCGGCAGAAATACACGGTAAAGTACAATGTGTCAATTGTGCATGCACGAGTACCATATTTCCTCTATTTGACGCCGGGATCTAATAGACGCCGGGACTCTAATAGACGCCGGCCTCTAATAGAAGCCGGGTCAATTGTTCAGTGCAAAAAATAGAACCCGGGCCTCTAATAGACGCGATACCTACGAACACAGAAAAATTCCATTTCGTGACGATTCGGGACATTCGTGGTCATAGTGAAATGGGAGTATTAATAGACGCCGGGCCTCTAATAGACGCCGGGCCTCCAATAGACGCCGGGCCTCTAATTGACGCCGGGTCAAAGGCTTGTCCGAAATAAATAGAAGCCCGGGCGTCTAATAGAGGAAATACGGTAAATGCGAGGCCCTGATCCTCTGTATGAACTCCGTGGTGCTGGATCCTAGACACGGATTCATTATCTATTTGTTAAATTCTTTTATGCGCGTCTATCGTGATCTAGAGCCATGTACAAGTTAATGCATATCGAATATGTTAACCTAGATAAACATATTTCCACATTTGTTGAACGTGTGTAGAGTTTCCACAGACGAGGTACTCTGAGTACACGCCCAGAGCCTCAGTGGTCTATTTCCTCCTGAATCCTTCCCACGTAACCATTATACACCTGGACACACAGTATAATGATGACGTCAGAATATTTCATCCATTAAACCTTTTATGACATCGTCACGCTATTGTTCTTGTAGTTGATATATACTGAGCCAGAAATTCACTGTCCATGAACGTGCCATTTAAACAAGTAAAATTGATGCAATCACAGGTCATTTAGCAAAATTACAAAGAAATATAAACATGAACCATAACATGGTTTAAGTCATGGTTTAAGTTTGTGTGTATTGTTTTACGCCGCTTTTAGCAACATTCCAGCAATATCACGGCGGCGAACACAAGACATGGGTTTCACACATTGTTCCATGTTGGGAATCGAACATGGGTCTTTGGTGTGCCATGAGTACGCTTTTATACCGATAGACTATACCTCATCGTCCCGTTGAAGTCAGAGGAATGAGACGAATCTGTTGATTTCTAAAGTACAATCAACTCGCCCTTTGGGGTTCGTCTCGTTGATTCTACATCCGAAATGAACAGTGAAGATTCCGGGTTAGAATAGTTTTTCAGCAACCCATGCTTGCCGTAAAAGGTGACTATGCTTGTCGTAAAAGGCGACTAACGGGATCGGGTGGTCAGGCTCGCTGACTTGGTTGATACATGTCATCGATCCCAATTGCGTGGATCGATGCTCATGATATTAATCACTGGATTGTATGGTCCAGACTCGATTATTTACAGACCGCCGTTATTTAGCTGTAATATTGCTGAGTGCAGCGTTAAACAACAAACCAACCAACCAGCCAACCAAGTTTCTAATAATTGTTCCATTACGCAGTGGACGTATCCTCGCCACGTCTTCGTTGTTTGGGCGATGGCAATTCATCTCAATTCCTTTACCGTTCATGAGTACATACGGACAATGAGCATCAGGTTCAAACATATTTTCCTCCAGGGTTTTTCACAGGAGGTAGCCATCATAACGATTTGTTCAAAGTTATTAGATATCAAAGTTCTACCCGTGAAGATCCGGGTGAGAATAGGTCTTCAGCAACCCACGCTTACCGTAAGAGGCGACTAACGGGATCGGGAGGTCAGGCTTGGTGACTTGATTGATGCATGTCATCGTATCCCAATTGCGTGGATCGATGCTGATGATGTCAATCATGAAATATCTGGTCCAGACTCGATTATTTACAGACCACCGTCATATAGCTGGAATATTGCTTAGTGCGGCGTTAAACAACAAACAAACAAACATAATGAAAACGTAGATCACACCGTGAAGGACGTGGATGTGAATCTTCGCCATTTATACGTCACGTGAATATATACCCCCACAAGGACCTAATATTAGACCAAGTTACTCCTCTATTTATATCCTTGCGCTGGAAAACCCTAGCGACTCCCCGAGCCAAACATGTTTATTGTTCCGTCACAGCCTTCAACAAAAAATCAGTTACGCCAAGCTGTCATATGCGTCAATTGGACTGCAGGCGAGTTACACAATGGCTTTTGAAAATGTATGTATTCCAATAGTTCAACCTGTACAGTACTAGTCATGCACTCCGCTGGTTCATTCCTCATTACTGCAAAGCATTGAGCAAGACATTCCCGTCATATAAAGTGGGACAAAGCCATAAACATTTGACCTCGGAACCACTGGGGCACAGTGAGGGGTGTGAGATCCTGTTTAAACTCGGTGTGCTGGTAAGGACGACGACACAGCGACGAAGTTGATGTCTACGATGTAGAGGAGTTCTGGCGTCCCGACACACTTCAACGGGCATCACATAGCGTAAGAATAAGAACTGGCGTCACTGGACAAACGGGAGCTTAATCGGTTATTTGTCCGTGTCAAGTGTTGTATCATCAGTGACCGCGGTATTGAACCATATTTGACCAAGTAAACTCTGACGATGGAAGGTTCCAAGGCACAAAAAGCAAGTGGTAAGAATATACATTTTCAGAAATACAACTATCGTAGCGGTTAACATTAATTGCAATGAACGAACTGTTCAAACTAATTTAGGTGAGAAGATAGTTGATTATTGCTTAAGTTCAGTTACATCGCATTCTAATGCGGTGAATACGACGTGAATACAATTGAGTGAGTGAGTGAGTTGGGTTTAACGCCGCTTTTAACAGTATTCCAGTTATATCACGGCGTGTCAGCTTAATGTGGGAGAAAAGCCCGAAGTGATGAAGGTCTCAGACGTTTACCACTTCGGTGAAACCCACGAGCAAGGGTATGGTGCTGACAAACCTGGAAACATAATCGGGGCGAATCGGGATTTGAACCCACAATCATAGGTTTCTGGCGTGCCCAGGGACGCAACTCTGCACAGCGAATCGCGGCGCCTTGGACGACTGGGCCCCCCGTGCCCCCCGAATACAATTGAAATCCATAGATGTGTGAATATAAAGACATTATTATTATAAACCCAGGTGATTGCCATTGTGTGAGGTGAAAAGATAACACGTCCGTAACCCGTCACATTGAATATGACGATAATACAGTACACAGTGTAAATGTATCAATACATGTTTCTGATCCCAATTGCGTGGATCGATGCTCATGATGTCAATCACTGGATTGACTGGTCCAGACTCGATTATTTACAGACCGCCGTCATATAGTTGGAATACTGCCGAGTGCGGCGTTAATCAACAAACAAACAAACAAACAAACAAAAATACATGTTTCTAGTTGCCTGGCATAATAGTCAGTCTTCAGTCATATTTTGTAAATTCCTTGTTATATACACCTGTGATTGGATTTAGGCAGAGCAAGAGTTATGTTATTCACACCTGGTTTTTGTATGTAAGTAGTGGGTAAGGTGTTGTTGTCTGCGGTGTGTTTTCTCCGATTGATCAATTATGAATACTACTGTTGATACATATATATATATAGGCTTATATAAATACGTAGATCACATCGTGACGACCTTGAGTCTGATTCATAGTCACATGACATGCTCCATAGTCACATGACATGCTCCAACAAGGGCCTGTTATGCATAGCCCAGTGGAGACCTAGGGAAATCCCCTCAATCTTTTCACGGATTTTATTAAGCAATTTACATGTAGATGCTCTATGTTTGATAAATCAAATTAATGTATTGAATGTTACGTGATATAGTGTTCTATAATGTGTAGATGGCGAATGACAAATAAAAATGGTACAATGGGACTCAACACCATGGCTGAAACATGTCAGTTCATGTACCTTTCTACAACCCATGGCATGCTGCTGTATTTATCAAACAAAGATGGGCACGGGGGGCCAAGTCGTCCAAGGCGCCGCGATTCGCTGTGCAGAGTTGCGTCCCTTGGGCAAGCCAGAAACCTATGATTTCGGTTCGCCCCGATTATGTTTCTAGGTTTGTCAGCACCATACCCGTGCTCATGGGTTTCACTGAAGTGGTAAACGTCTGAGACCTGCGTCACTTCGGGCTTTCCTCCCACATTAAGCTGACACGCCGTGATATAACTGAACTACTGTTAAAAGCGGCGTTAAACCCAACTCCCTCACTCACTCACTCAAACAAATCTTTCGCTTGTTCATCTTTGTGTTAATGATTCTAGCACCAGTTATCTACCTGGCAATGTATGACTTTGATGGGAGTTACGATGATGACTTGTCATTCAAGAAAGGGCACCGACTCAGAAGAGTAGACGCCGAGTAAGTTCATATTTAAGTGTCGTAACATATTGTTTGTTGTTTAACACCGCTCTCAGCAATATTCCAGCTTTATGACGGCGGTCTGGAAATAATCGAGTCTGGACCAGAAAACCCATGATTGACATCATGGGCATCGATCCACGCAATTAGGATACGATGACATGCATCAACCAAGTCAGCGAGCCTGACCACCCGATCCCGTGAGTCGCCTCTTACGACAAGCATTGTCGTCTTTTACGGCGAAGACCTATTCTAACCCGGATCTTCACAGGTCTCTTTAAGTCTCAAATGAGTCACAAGGATGGTAACAAAGTAAGCGTGACTTAAGAAGTTGTGTTCTGTATACTATTGCCGTCATAAAACCAGCAAATAACACGACATAAACGTTTTCAATACAATATTGAAACTGTAGGCATGACACTCTTACAAGTACATGTACCACCCCGTTATATTCGTTTGTCCACGTTTTGCAATAAACCATCACGCTCATCGTAGTGCTTAATTAAAATTGCATATTTTGTTCATGTGTAACCGCCTATAAACCATATAAATACAAAACGACAACGTTGGCGAATAACCAGTCTCGATTATCCGCCGATACAGATTCAAGGCTAAATAAAGGTTAAATTATATGACTGGATCACTGAAAATCAGGGTTCGCGAAAAGGGTAAGCCTACCGGTTCCAACCGCCACTCTCACAATTTGCATAATATAATATATGTTTGTATGTTGCCTCATGACACACCACGCAATTCTCCTGTCATGTGACGACGGCCTGTAAACAAACCAGAAAATCAATCAAGACGAGACAAGTGTAGGGTGATTATAATCCCATCTTTCTTCCGTGCACACACAGAGTGGCATCTGACTGGGTGGTGTGTGTGAACCTCAACAGTGGTGAAACCGGGTACATCCCAATCAACTATGTTAAACTTGAAAACAACTCTCCAGAATCTCAGGTGTAAGTTTTTAAACAATATTTTAACATATTTACGTTGGATCCTTAATTCAAATAGACATTTTTTTTAATTTTAGCTTTGTACCTTCTGTCTGTCTGTCTGTCTGTCTTAATTTAAAAGGACAGTTATTTTATTTTAGCTTCGCACCAGTTGACGTTTAAATAACTACAGCTCATATATAGATAGATAGATAGATAGATAGATAGATAGATGTTAATATATTTTCTTTTAAGTAGGACAATACTCAAAAATCAGATTGCATTATCCAACGTGTTCAGCTATATAATGTATGGATGTCCTGGTAAATTTGATATACATAGATTAAAAAAAGGACATCTAATGTATCCGTGTGTTTTTCTACACTCGAAGTGCTGTTTACTCGATCATCAAACATATACATGTATGGAGTCAAACGTCGTTCGAGACAAACTGGACGTTACCTAGTTTAGACGAGTTATACAATATCGATATAAGGCAGTTCGAGTTAACAGGGTTTCCCCACATTGTGTAAGGCGGAGTACACATCCTTGAATGCAGCGTTGTGTTGCAGATGGTGGTTTGCCTGCACACGGGAGGGAGGAGAGAAGAAACTGATGAAGGAGGGCTTGACTGATGGGACGTTTCTCGTCAGGCCAACCTCAGGTAGGAGCACTCGTGACGCATGAAGGGTTAATAATTTACGTAGATTTACAATTGTATTGCTCCTTTCTTTTTTCACAAGATAAAGGATCGAACAATACGTTGGTAATACTTTCTAGAAACTGATTGAATGTAGACTCCGTTTCGAATATTAAAAAGTGTTTCATAGTACTTTATATCCGAGCCCCGTAAGCATGTTGGGGCGATCGGGTAGCTTAGTGGTTAAAGTGTTCGCTCGTTACGCCGAAGACCCGGGTTCGATTCCCGACATGGGTACGATGTGTGAAGCCCATTTCTGGTGTCCCCAGGCGTGATATTGCTGGAACATTGCTAAAAGTGGCGTAAAACCATACTCACTCGTTAGCATGTTGTCCATTAACCGGCATTACTTGGATCGTAGGCAGAACTTCACGTCGAAGACGTTTGTCACTTATTTGCTAATTATTATTTACTTCATTGGTTAAGTCAGATTACGGGTCTGGGACTTGTGAATCTGGGATTCGAACGGCCCTCGGTTCTGTACAGGTGAGACTACTGAGCCATCCGTTCCCCAACATTGTCCACTATAGTTACCAGTACGCTAACCCAATGAACCTTCGCGATTGATACATATGAACCCTTCTGTTGTGATCACTATGACAGTGGGCTAGTGGGCCCACATTAAGCCTATGTATTAATTCTTGATTACATATATTGTTTCATCAGAAACTTGCTATATGCAAATGTGGTCCCTCTCGTTTCCATCACTATATATCGTTACCTTTTTGTTCACCGTATACCAGTCGTATTGCATATTATAGCAAGATACACATAGAAGTGTTTTAAAAAAAGAAAAAAAAAGAAGAAGTGTTTTTGTGTTTTTGTGTAAACCCGTCAAATATTTCATGTTTTAGAAACAAGTTCCTACACATTAAGTGTGAGGTGGCACGAAGGGGATGGGATGCCCTGTGTCAAACACTACAAGCTGCGCAAGTCAGAGGAGGGGCAGGTTTACATCGGGCTGAGAAAGATGTTTCTTACAGTCAACGTACTTATCGCATATTATCAAGGTAATACCATCACAAGGCCATACATTCTCATTCTTTTCAATTTCTATTTGTTTCGATAGGTCACTCGTTAATCTTAAGTTACTTCTCATTATTTAGTGGTGTTTTGGTAACTATCGTTTTCTATGTCTGAAAAACAACACTCTGTAATTAACTGTAACGTACGGCTTGTAGTAAGACAGATGAATTTAGCGATTGAATAAATATTCATGTGTGTATGCTGCGTTAAGAATATGGCGGATGGAAGGAATTATACGAACACTTCACTTGATAGTATTGTAGAGTATGGGATTATATTTTACTTCATTTGAAATATATTTACAAGTTTGTCAGTTGGTGTGCTGACACACAATTTTGGTACGTGTTGTACAATGATACAAGTTTGTCACTTGGTGTGGTGACACATACGTTGAGCACGTGTTCTACGAACATGCAAGTTGTCACTTGGTGTGGTGACACACACGTTTGGCACGGCTTGTACAAAGATACAAGTTTGTCACTTGGTGTGGAGACAGACACGTTTGGCACGCGTTGTAAAAAGATACAAGTTTGTCACTTGGTGTGCTGACACACGTTTGGCACACGTTTGGCACACACTCGTTTGGCACGCGTTGTAAAAAGATACAAGTTTGTCACTTGGTGTGCTGACACATACGTTGAGTACGTGTTGTACGAACATGCGAGTTGTCACTTGGTGTGCTGACAGACACGTTTGGCACGTGTTGTATAAAGATAAAAATGTGTCACTTGGTGTGGTGACACATACGTTGAGCACGTGTTGTACGAACATGCAAGTTGTCACTTGGTGTGCTGACATACGTTTGGCACGTGTTGTACACAAGGATACAAGTTGTGAACCTTGGCATTTGTCACGTGTTATTGAGACATATACGTTTGGTACAGACTTTACAGACACACGCATTTGTCACGTGTTATTGAGACATATACGTTTGGTACAGACTTTACAGACACATACATTTGTCACGTGTTATTGAGACATAAACGTTTGTCTCAGACTTTACAAATTGTCCCTCCATGTTATGATATTGGTATGTTGTAATTACTTATCTGATTGTGTTCACAGACAATGATGACGGTTTGGTGTGTCGTCTAACTAAGCCGTGTCCGAGGACAGTACAACTCCAACAGGGGTAAGAAAACGTTAACATTAATACGACAACGACTAGGGGTCTGTTCGTTTGTGGAACAATGTTCGTTTACAAACCAATAAGCAGGTGTAATTTCAATTTCACATCAACGTATTTGGCCTAAGTTTAGTTGGTTTACGGACCAACCGGCCTGAACTTTCTAATATTTGGGAAAAAATATCAAATCAGTATTGCTATTTTGTAATGAAATGCTGTCTTTAGTACGTTTTGTAATGTTTGAAAATAAAAACCACAGAAATGTCAAATTCATGTTACGTTGGAAGTTCTATCTTATGAACAAATACGTCAAAAACAACTTCACAGACTGATTCTTTAATCAATGACACAAAAAACCTTGTGGACAATAATACGAAAAAAAGTGACCTAGTTCATGGTAATAATGCAACACAGGCCCCACCCACTTTGTTACTGACCAATCAGAAAACATGAGTTGGCTAGTGGGTGCCGCCTATTCTTTTTGTTTGTGAATACGTAATCAAATGCCACGAAACGACTTTCAATTATTTGTTTCGACACACACATGAATTATTTACATAACAAAGTAACCCACAGCAGAGTCTGGCCTCAGCGACTGTCATGCTGTGTTTGTGTAACACGAAGCGACAAATTACGAATACTTATATCTTCGCATAAAGTCATCTTAGTTTATAAAACACTTATATCATGAACTGTTTTCCCCACAGGGGTCGATCCGTTAAAGGCGAAAGGTAAAGTATTGATTTTTTTAATAATTCTTAATTGATTTATACATAGTTACAACATTGTGAGAATAGTCTTCGCATGGTAGAACATTAGTTCCTTATACGAGTTTGTCATACATATCCAAATTTCATCTCATTATAATCATTGGGTTGATTCATATTTCAGTACCTTTAGACTCAGCCAAGCTATAAGGTATTGAGTCGATTGTACGACACCGACTATGTCATGAGCATGTGTTGATGAATCGCTATCAAATAGTGATGATACTAGATGTTCGCGAAAAGGTGAGCGTATCCTGCCCCACCGGTGGCACCCGTCACAAACACATGCAAAGGCAAGGCAAATGTTCACCTAAAAAAACACAGTAACATATGGTACAAGTCAAAATAGGGAACTGCATCGGTCATAATTTTTGTCACTGATGCGCCAAATTTGGAAATGTCCTCCACATGTCTGCCATAAGAACTTTTGAAAGCTTTACTGAGGCCTTGAATGTTGTAACCTTGATCAAACAACTTCAGAGCAAGAGTCGTATGACGCTTTTAAATCTTGGTAGAAAGAGCATGCTCGATTGTATCTCAAAACTTGTGAATTATAAACACCAAAGGCTGGAGCTGCTGGAATATTGCTCGAGTGAGTGAGTGAGTTTGGTTTTACGCCGCTTTTAGCAATATTCCAGCAATATCACGGCGGGGGACACCAGAAATGGGCTTCACACATTGTACCCATGTCGGGAATCGAACCCGGGTCCTCAGCGTGACGAGCGAACGCCTTAACCACTAGGCTACCCGACCGCCCCGAATATTGCTCGACATGAAGGGGAAGTTGTCCCTCTTGTCATACAGTCTTGTGGAGAGTGTTTTGCCACTCTGAATCTTTATGCATAGACCTAAATATGAAACAGATGAGGCCTACTTTATTTCTAGTTCAGGTGGATAAATCAATGGAATGGTATTTGCTATTTGATTGTTATTAAACGATATCAGATCATCGATATACCTGAAGCTTAGTTAAACTTCTGGGCCAAATGACCGTGTTTAGACTTTGCTAATCCGAACAGAAATTCCGATGTTTATGCATAAAGAAACAGATCCGCAAGAAGGGGAGTACAATCACAGTGTTAAACAGTGTCGGTTTTCCTTCAGTTGGTGGTTTGACATTGGACGCCATGATGCAGAAGCACTGTTGTTGAAAAGAGAAGCGGAACTTGGTTACTTTCTCATCAGACCAACAACAGGTTAGTCACACCCATGGAACCAAGGATTTCCAATATATTACAGCCGAGGAATTGTGAAAGGTATGACTGTTTACGAACTGAACAAAACTTGGAGAAATGATTGTGGATGATAAATAGAATCTGACCCTCGTATCTCTTGATATCAAATATATCAACACTCGTCGATAAACGTACAAGTTTCGGAGTGTAAGTTTTTTATCGACTCGAGTTGATTTATTCAATATCAAAAGACATTTGGATGAGAGTCTCTATATATCAGTCGATAGATATAAAAAATCGATAGTAATTTTGAGGATGGGTACCATATTGGTCAGTGTTACTTGGTATTCAACAGACCATATATAAGGTCGTCCTACGAAATACCTTTAAATTTTAATCACCTCTAAAACTTTAAAACTACAACGAAGACAATCGATTACTAGACTGAAGACGAGTGCAACTTTAATCAAAAATGATCATCTGATTATGTTTTAGTTATATGCTTTTAAGTTGTTAGTGACATTTTATGACATGAGGTTCCTCTCCAATATCATTCTTCAGTCAAGGAACAGTTGCTTGTAAAAATCAGCTGCGATTAAGCCCATATTTTCCATAGACATGTTGTAGATTTGAACCTACGGTGCATCAAATACCTACTGATGGTGATTTATTGTTGCGTCGGACAATTCTTTTCTTGCATCTTGAACTTATTGTTTAACAAATTGGTCATTATATAATTAATCTAACATGGAAATTATAGTATTTCTGTTATTGCAATTAACCTGCTTAATATATTGTTCCAGGGTCAAACTCATATGCCTTGTCTGTGAGGCTGCAACACGGAAATGCCGAATCCCCTTTCGTTAGACACTACAAAATACAGACAGCGGAGAACGGACAGGTGTACATTGGAGTCCGGAGGATGTTTTCCAGCATCAACGCACTTGTAGCGCATCACCGAGGTAGATGCATATGCATGCTTACGCTTACTATATTTAAGAGCAGGCAATACAAAATCCCACATAAATGCTAATACATACATTGATACATTGGTAAACATATCATTTTTATGGGGGCACGGGGGGCACGGGTGGCGCAATCGTCTAAGGCGCCGCGATTCGCTGTGCAGAGTTGCGTCCCTTGGGCACGCCAGAAACCTATGATTGTGGGTTCGAATCCCGGTTCGCCCCGAATATGTTTCTAGGTTTGTTAAACCCAACTCACTCACTCACTCTATTAATTTTTGAATTGAAATGGTGATTGATTGTTTTACATATTTAGTTAAAATATTTAGTTTCATTTATGAGCTTAAACAATTTCCAATATTGGTGTTAACTGTATGCTCGCTGTTTTACGTTATAATTTCTATATGTCTGGTGTGAGTTCTACATCAACATGTACTTATTCCTTGCCAGCGAGGGAGGACGGTTTGGAGTGTCGCCTGACGGAGCCATGTCCCAGGATGGCACCAGTCCTACACCTTCGTAGCATGGAGGTTAACAGAGGTCACATTGGCATGACAGTCAAGCTTGGCTCCGGCTACTTTGGCGAAGTCTGGAAAGGTATGTGCACAGATAATGACGATAGTAAAGGGTTGTTGTTGATATTTCTCCGTATCAGAAAGGAACTGATGACACATCGTATAAACGTTTATTTTTTTGGTCAAATCCATTTTTCAAGTATATACTTCCTTATGTCCAACAAGTTTGACCCTGTTTTAATGAGTGAGTAGTGTTAAAGCAATATTCAAGCAATACCACGAAGTGGGCCACCAGCAGAAAAAGGGATGCCTTCATTGAAATTCTTTCAGTGATAACGATTATGAATATTCATATTTATGTCACTAAATGTCGTAAATGTGCTGGTCGTAAGAGGCGATTTAATGGATCGGTTGGTCAGACTAGGTGACTTGGTATATTTCGGGTCATCGTACCCCGACAGCGTTGATCGGTGCTCATAATATCCACCACTGGATTGTGTGGTCCAGTGTAAAAAAATTAAGGCCAACTAGAATATTGTGTGGCGTTCAACAACGAACAAACAACCAAAACGCCAGTATGAATAATGACGAGGACAATGCGAAAACGATGATCATGATAGGGTGGACGTATAATAAGTGAGTGAGTGAGTGAGTGAGTGAGTGAGTGAGTGAGTGAGTGAGTATGGTTTCACGCCGCTTTTAGCAATATCCAAGCAATATCACGGCGGGGGAAATCAGAAATGGGCTTCACACATTGTCCCCATGTCGGGAATCGAACCCGGGTCTTCGGCGTGACGAGCGAACGCTTTAACCACTAGGCTACCCGAACGCCCCGGGCGTATAATGGTATCGATGACGAACATTATAAAAATGATGACGATGCGATAATGTCAAAATATGACGATGCGGATATCATGACAGTGATAACTAATCGTGATAAACCGATCAAACATTGACACATCGGAAGATCAGAGTGATAAAAACTGCAATTATGATTGTCACACTTCGAAGACCAATGTCGATATGGTGATCATATTGTAGCTGTTAAAGGTTACGGTGATTGACATGATGTATGTTATTCCAGGAAAGCTGAACGGAAAGCGTGACATTGCCGTTAAGAAGTTGAAGCCAGGCAGGATGACTGTGGAAGATTTCATCAGCGAGGCGAGAATAATGAACCAATTACGTCACGTCCGCCTGGTCCAACTCCTGGCGGTGTGTACAGACGCTGAACCTGTTCTGCTCATCACTGAGTACATGACCAATGGATCCCTACTGGACTTCCTCCGGAAAACGGACCGTCCTAAGCTGGAGCATTCTATGATGATAAACATGTGCAGACAGGTGAGCTGCAAATAGAAGAGTAAACCCTATACCATTTGATCAAAAGTGGTACTTGAATTTCTTACGGAAATGGGCATAATGCAGACAGGTGAGCTGCAAATAGAAGAGTAAACCCTATACCATTTGATCAAAAGTTGTACTTGAATTTCTTACGGAAATGGGCATAATGCAGACAGGTGAGCTGCAAATAGAAGAGTAAACCCTATAACATTTGATCAAAAGTGGTACTTGAATTTCTTACGGAAATGGGCATAATGCAGACAGGTGAGCTGCAAATAGAAGAGTAAACCCTATACCATTTGATTAAAAGTGGTACTTGAATTTCTTACGGAAATGGGCATAATGCAGATAGGTGAGCTGCAAATAGAAGAGTAAACCCTATACCATTTGATCAAAAGTGGTACTTGAATTTCTTACGGAAATGGGCATAATGCAGACAGGTGAGCTGCAAATAGAAGAGTAAACCCTATACCATTTGATCAAAAGTTGTACTTGAATTTCTTACGGAAATGGGCATAATGAAGACAGGTGAGCTGCAAATAGAAGAGTAAACCCTATACCATTTGATCAAAAGTTGTACTTGAATTTCTTACGGAAATGGGCATAATGCAGACAGGTGAGCTGCAAATAGAAGAGTAAACCCTATGCCATTTGATGCAAAAGTGGTACTTGAATTTCTTACGGAAATGGGCATAATGCAGACAGGTGAGCTGCAAATAGAAGAGTAAATCCTATGCCATTTGATGCAAAAGTTGTACTTGAATTTCTTACGGAAATGGGCATAATGCAGACAGGTGAGCTGCAAATAGAAGAGTAAACCCTATGCCATTTGATGCAAAAGTGGTACTTGAATTTCTTACGGAAATGGGCACATTAATACTTCACTATTGTGTTTGAAAATGATGTTTGTTTTACGTAAGTGCGACCTCTGTACCGAATAGTTACTGATGGAAAGTTGTCACAATTGCAAATATACTGTGATGAAACGGACATGCAAACACGACTTTGGATGTTGTTTTCAATACGGTTGAATAAACAATCAGTCGTTTGTCATGCAGATTGCTGAGGGAATGGCGTTCCTTGAATCCCACAACTTCATCCACCGAGACCTTCGTGCTGCCAATATACTGGTGGGGGAACATTATGATGTCAAGGTCGCAGACTTCGGACTGGCCAGGATCGTTGATGATGGCGCCGATTATCTTTCAAAAGGTAACGCATTGGCAACATTTTATGTTTCATGTTTCAGATGTTGATAGATGACATGAAACATATTCCCAGCAGATAAATGTCGCTGTGCACTGGTGCCCTTAAAGGGTGTGATGGTGAGGTGAAATGGGGTTTAACGTCGCGTCCAAGATTATTGCACTTATATAGCGACGTGCATGCACGTGTATGTGTGTGTGTGTGGCTGCTTGTACTAGTCCGGACTGATGCCGATTTATAGTGCTAGCCCATTGAGATACCATGCCGCAGTTTAACATGAATACCCCACTCAGACACTGTATACTGACTCCGAGCCGACCAGTCCTTGTTTTAGCCCCTCAATGCCGAGCGCCAGACAGGGTAACAACAAGTACCATCTTTTAACGTCTTTTTGTATGACCCGGCCGAGGATCGAACTCCGGACCTTCCGCTCTCCGGGCGGACGCTCTACCACAAGACCACGGAGGCGGTCAAAGAGTGTAATGTGCTACAATAGATCAAGAATTAGAAACGCAGAAATTTCAGTTCAAACAATAATTCACCATGTATTTTCCACTGATCCTAAACAGATTTTATATTTGTGGTCATGTAGGTAGCCGTGTACCTATCAAGTGGACGGCCCCTGAGGGACTGGAATACAGAAAATTCAGTATCAAGTCTGACGTGTGGTCCTTTGGTGTGTTGATGTTCGAGATTGCAACATCAGGCAAGGATCCTTATGCAGGTAATGTCATTCTGGCGTTACGGTAAGACTGATAGAGTCAGTGGTTCGGAGAGTGAGTGACTGAGTGACTGCGTGATTGAGTCAGTCAGTGAGTTACTAATTGGCTTACGATTTAACCCTTACCCTTAGTGCTCACTAATGCAGGCGAGTGTGTAAAGGAAAGTTACTGAGAGACCATGTATAATTACCTTGACGAATCCGGGAGTCGAATGCATTATCCTTGCAGTTCCTTGCAGTTGTGGACCATACTAGTGCGTATCGGCTAGAAGTGTAAACTTTACAAGCCAGACAAAGCCGGATCTATCCATTATAGTCTCTAAGATATACAAGTCTTATCACCGGTACCGCATTTCCATTTATTAAGTGCCCAAACCATATTTTCTCCTGTGTACTTTTAGACCATATTAAAGGCCGAATCTTTTCAAAGGCCTGATCCTCATTTCTTTCTGAAGTGACGAGAATGGTTAGCTTATATTAGTTCAGTGAACGTTTTAGCGCTCAAAGTAATTGAAATGGCCCGACATCATTAGCTGTAAAGGGCCAAAACTCAGAGGCAAGGCTCTAACTTCAAACCCTGCAACTAGACCGGGCCCTTAATAGATGTCTCCTCATAACGGGACTGAGGTATATTAGTCACGACAGCCTATTTTTAATTTCACTGTTATATTTGAATGTACATGCTATGTTCATACACCTACCAACCCCAAGTGTAAGGACGTACATGTACTTGTAAGAAGTTGTCACTGACTTGGTTCTCTGCTACAGGTATGAGGCCACGAGAAGTCGTGGAACAAACAGTTCAAGGGTATCGCTTACCCAAACCACAGGCACACTGGCTTCCCGAACAGATAGACCCTCTCTATGATATCATGCAACAATGCTGGAAGAACGACCCTGCAAGCAGGCCCTCCTTTTCCCATCTACACAGCTTATTTGAGGACTTCCAAGTTCAGACAGAAACGCAGTATGATGATATATGACGTACTGAATTATATAGAAAAGGTAATCACTTCAAAGATGGAGCTGTGATGGAGCTGTTTGAAGGTGTAACATGCTATTTGGATTACATTGTCTCCAAGAAGACACTGGGCAGTGGCAGCGCGGGACAACGGAGTTACTGAAATCGATTGAGTTGCTAAATTTCATTGACATGACATTGAAGGTGTGTATGTAACCAAGTGTAAAACTGATATTGCGGTCTTTGATGTAGCAAATTGCTTGTGTGGAACGTCGTCATCAACAGGGGACATTTCTGTTGTGTTACTGACACAGTGATCATCACTCTATCGTGGAAACGTATGTTATTGTGGTAGTGTCAACACTTTTGCAGAAGGGGAAAGTGTGTGTTAAGTTATTGACATTGTCATCACTACTGTATGAGAGAAAGTGTGTGTTGTGTTTTTGATATTATCATCACGACTGTATGAGGGAAAGTGTGTGTTGTGTTATTGATATTATCATCACGCCTGTATGAGGGAAAGTGTGTGTTGAGTTATTGATATTATCATCAGTACTGTTTGAGGGTAAGTGTGTGTTGTGTTATTGACATTATCATCACGACTGTATGAGGGAAAGTGTGTTGTGTTATTGATATTATCATCACGACTGTATGAGGGAAAGTGTGTGTTGAGTTATTGACATTATCATCACGACTGCATGAGGGAAAGTGTGTGTTGAGTTACTGACATTATCATCACGACTGTATGAGGGAAAGTGTGTGTTGAGTTATTGACATTATCATCACGACTGTATGAGGGAAAGTGTGTGTTGAGTTATCGACATTATCATCACTACTGTATGAGGGAAAGTGTGTGTTGAGTTATTGACATTATCATCACGACTGTATGAGGGTTAGGGTGTGTTGTGTTATTGACATTATCATCACTACTGTATGAGGGTAACTGTGTGTTGTGTTATTGACATTATCATCACGACTGTATGAGGGAAAGTGTGTGTTGAGTTATCGACATTATCATCACTACTGTATGAGGGAAAGTGTGTGTTGAGTTATTGACATTATCATCACGACTGTATGAGGGTTAGGGTGTGTTGTGTTATTGACATTATCATCACTACTGTATGAGGGTAACTGTGTGTTGTGTTATTGATATTATCATCACTATTGTATGAGGGAAAGTGTGTGTTGAGTTATTGACATTATCATCACTACTGTATGAGAGAAAGTGTGTGTTGAGTTATTGATATTATCATCACTACTGTATGAGGGTAAGTGTGTGTTGAGTTATTGACATTATCATCACGACTGTATGAGGGAAAGTGTGTGTTGTGTTTTTGATATTATCATCACGACTGTATGAGGGAAAGTGTGTGTTGTGTTATTGATATTATCATCACGCCTGTATGAGGGAAAGTGTGTGTTGAGTTATTGATATTATCATCAGTACTGTTTGAGGGTAAGTGTGTGTTGTGTTATTGACATTATCATCACGACTGTATGAGGGAAAGTGTGTTGTGTTATTGATATTATCATCACGACTGTATGAGGGAAAGTGTGTGTTGAGTTATTGACATTATCATCACGACTGCATGAGGGAAAGTGTGTGTTGAGTTACTGACATTATCATCACGACTGTATGAGGGAAAGTGTGTGTTGAGTTATTGACATTATCATCACGACTGTATGAGGGAAAGTGTGTGTTGAGTTATCGACATTATCATCACTACTGTATGAGGGAAAGTGTGTGTTGAGTTATTGACATTATCATCACGACTGTATGAGGGTTAGGGTGTGTTGTGTTATTGACATTATCATCACTACTGTATGAGGGTAACTGTGTGTTGTGTTATTGATATTATCATCACTATTGTATGAGGGAAAGTGTGTGTTGAGTTATTGACATTATCATCACTACTGTATGAGAGAAAGTGTGTGTTGAGTTATTGATATTATCATCACTACTGTATGAGGGTAAGTGTGTGTTGAGTTATTGACATTATCATCACGACTGTATGAGGGAAAGTGTGTGTTGTGTTATTGATATTATCATCACTACTGTATGAGGGAAAGTGTGTGTTGAGTTATTGACATTATCATCATTACTGTATGAGAGAAAGTGTGTGTTGAGTTATTGATATTATCAGCACTACTGTATGAGAAAAGTGTGTGTTGAGTTATTGATATTATCATCACGACTGTATGAGGGGAAGTGTGTGTTGATTTATTGACATTATCATCACGACTGTATGAGGGAAAGTGTGTGTTGAGTTATTGATATTATCATCACGACTGTATGAGGGACAGTGTGTGTTGTGTTATTGACATTATCATCAGTACTGTATGAGGGACAGTGTGTGTTGAGTTATTGAGATTATCATCACTACTGTATGAGAGAAAGTGTGTGTTGAGTTATTGATATTATCATCACTACTGCATGAGAGAAAGTGTGTGTTGAGTTATTGATATTATCATCACGACTGTATGAGGGACAGTGTGTGTTGTGTTATTGACATTATCATCAGTACTGTATGAGGGACAGTGTGTGTTGAGTTATTGAGATTATCATCACTACTGTATGAGAGAAAGTGTGTGTTGAGTTATTGATATTATCATCACTACTGTATGAGAGAAAGTGTGTGTTGAGTTATTGACATTATCATCACGACTGTATGAGGGAAAGTGTGTGTTGAGTTATTGATATTATCATCACTACTGTATGAGGGACAGTGTGTGTTGTGTTATTGACATTATCATCAGTACTGTATGAGGGACAGTGTGTGTTGAGTTATTGAGATTATCATCACTACTGTATGAGAGAAAGTGTGTGTTGAGTTATTGATATTATCATCACTACTGCATGAGAGAAAGTGTGTGTTGAGTTATTGATATTATCATCACGACTGTATGAGGGACAGTGTGTGTTGTGTTATTGACATTATCATCAGTACTGTATGAGGGACAGTGTGTGTTGAGTTATTGAGATTATCATCACTACTGTATGAGAGAAAGTGTGTGTTGAGTTATTGATATTATCATCACTACTGTATGAGAGAAAGTGTGTGTTGAGTTATTGATATTATCATCACGACTGTATGAGGGAAAGTGTGTGTTGAGTTATTGATATTATCATCATTACTGTATGAGGGAAAGTGTGTGTTGAGTTATTGATATTATCATCACGACTGTATGAGGGTAAGTGTGTGTTGAGTTATTGATATTATCATTACGACTGTATGAGGGTAAGTGTGTGTTGTGTTATTGATATTATCATCACGACTGTATGAGGGAAAGTGTGTGTTGTGTTATTGATATTATCATCAGTACTGTATAAGGGTAAGTGTGTGTTGAGTTATTGACATTATCATCACGACTGTATGAGGGAAAGTGTGTGTTGAGTTATTGACATTATCATCACTACTGTATGAGAGAAAGTGTGTGTTGAGTTATTGATATTATCATCACGACTGTATGAGGGCAAGTGTGTGTTGTGTTATTGACATTATCATCACGACTGTATAAGGGAAAGTGTGTTGAGTTATTGATATTATCATCACTACTGTATGAGGGAAAGTGTGTCTTGAGTTATTGATATTATCATCACGACTGTATGAGGGACAGTGTGTGTTGTGTTATTGACATTATCATCACGACTGTATGAGGGAAAGTGTGTGTTGAGTTATTGATATTATCTTCACGACTGTATGAGGGAAAGTGTGTGTTGAGTTATTGATATCATCATCACTACTGTATGAGGGAAAGTGTGTGTTGAGTTATTGATATTATCATCAGGACTGTATGAGGGTAAGTGTGTGTTGTGTTATTGACATTATCATCACGACTGTATGAGGGAAAGTGTGTTGAGTTATCGATATTATCATCAGTATTGTATGAGGGTAAGTGTGTGTTGAGTAATTGATATTATCATCACTACTGTATGAGGGACAGTGTGTGTTGTGTTATTGATATTGTCATCACTATTGTATGAGGGAAAGAGTGTTGGGTAATTGTGGTACCGTCAACACTTTTGCAGAATATGACAGGTGTGTCGAGTGACTGACGATGTCATGACGCTTGTTGCAGGACAATGTTTGTTTTGAGTAACTTTGGTCATCGATGATCTTACAATGGAAATGTTTTATTTTCATCAGATGACCCCTGTATTTAAATGTTATATAACTTACATTTCGGCAAATATATTTATACGATATTTGCATAAATAGACATCATCACAGTCTATACAGGTGCGCCTGTTGTAGGCAAAGGGTTCATAAGAAATGCCATTAAGCTGTGTATTTCTACAAGCTGACCGGGTGTATGATATCACGTAGACAGCAGGGTAATAGTTTTCTGTTTATACGATTGTGTGCACGTATGTGAGATCGACGAACTGTTGCTGTATTGCTTTCATGAAACACATTTAAACATTAAAGCACCTAATCAAATATTACATGTTGGTATTTCTTTAATGCAACCTAGCCTATCATGTACTTGTCTGCCCGTGAAGATTCGGGCTAGAATTGGTCTTCAGCAACCCATGCTTGTCGTAAGAAGCGTCTAACGGTATCGGGTGGTCAGGATCGCTGACTCTGTCGATGGTTTGGTTCAAATATATTTTATTCAGATTGAAAGGGATAAAATATGTTTAAACCAAACCATGTCATCGTATCCCAAATGCGTATATCGATGCTCGTGATATCAATCACTGGAATGTCTGGTCCATTTTCGATTATTTATAGATCGCCGTCATAAAGCTAGAATATTGCTGAATGTTAACCAACACACAAGCAAACAACACAACGTGCATGTATTGGTCTTGTGGATCTCTTTCTATCACGTGCATATATTGGTTATGTGGATCTCTTTCTATCACGTGCATGTATTGGTTATGTGGATCTCTTTCTATCACGTGCACGTATTGGTTATTTGGATCTCTTTTTATTGGTCAAGTGGGCTCACCTATCACGTGCATATATTTGTAATGCGAAGATCTTTCTATCACGGGCATATATTGGTTATGTGGGGCTCTTTCTATCACGTGCATGTATTGGTTATGTGGATCTCTTTCTATCACGTGCACGTATTGGTTATTTGGATCTCTTTTTATTGGTCAAGTGGGCTCACCTATCACGTGCATATATTTGTAATGCGAAGATCTTTCTATCACGGGCATATATTGGTTATGTGGGGCTCTTTCTATCCCGTGTTTATATTGGTTGTTTGAACCTCACCTATCACGTGCATATATAGCCAATGTGATGTTGGTCTTAGACGTCTCCCACCTTGGTCAAACCCATTAGAAACCGATATGGGCAAATGTTAGATTCGAACACACAACAATAGGATCCTGATTCACGTGCGGAACTTTACCAGTGCGACGCTGGAGTTAGGTTGGGTGTGGGTGGGTGACACGTTTGGAGCTGATTTCCTGGAAACATACGTTTTGTTCCTTCCAGAATAGCATTGAGGAACAGAGGACTACTTCTTATTTATTTTTTATGGATTTTTTTTTTCTTGAAATTATTTATTTAACCGTCACGTCTAGAGAGTAATGTGCTGACAGGATCGTGTATATACGGCGCTGATCGTAACCCCTCATCCGTTCAGCGTTCATCCGAGGCACGGGTGGCCCAGTCGTCTAAGGCGCCGCGATTCGCTGGGCAGAGTTGCGTCCCTTGGGCGCGCCAGAAACCTATGATTGTGGGTTCGAGTCCCGGTTCGCCCCGATTATGTTTCTAGGTTTGTCAGCACCACACCCTGACCACCACACCCGTGCTCGTGGGTTTCACTGAAGTGGTAAACGTCTGAGACCTGCATCACTTCGGGATTTCCTCCCACATTATTCTACACGCCGCGATATAACTGGAATACTGTTAAAAGCGGCGTTAAACCCAACTCACTCACTGACTCAGCGCTTATCATCTGCTGTTCCATATATCCCTACTGGTATAGGACTATAGTTCAACCAGTGATAAGTCTACCAGTATACGCTATATATAATAACAATAAATTTATATTACTATATTCGATAGTTTTGACCTTTGAAAAAAAAGTTTTAGACCGTAAACCAATTAGACTGATAAAAGGTTATCGACAATTATTTCGTGATAATTATATTTGTTCTGAAACATTCCCAAAATAAAAGTTGACAGTACTACTGACTGAAATGTTTAACTGAGCTATGGGCTAATGCGCTAAAAAAATTAATCGGTTTCTTTTAAAGTGAACTTTGTTAACCAATATAATATATCAATAGATCTGTCATATTGCGAAGAGAGAGAGAGAGAGAGAGAGAGAGAGAGAGAGAGAGAGAGAGAGAGAGAGAGAGAGAGAGTATCAAAACTAAAGACGTATTTTCCCATTGACAAACTGAGCCAGTTATCGTCATCGAAAGTACCGCACGGTCAGGCACACATCTATAGTTACATAAAGTAGTTCATCGTTGTACATTATTTCAAGAATACATAAAATTTAAAATACATTCAGTTTGGTTCTATTGAGAAAGTCAGTGATAAGGTCAATGAAAAAGACAGTGAATGACAGTCTGATTAAACTGATAAATATTACAATTTCCATTCAACTCAATAAAGGATACTTCTATCACAGCTTTGACACAGATAATGAAATCTTTTGTAAAAGAAATCAGCACCCGTCCTCAACGTTTGGATATGAAGATATGAAGTCATTTGCGAAATGATTGAGATATGGGTCCTGATTCTGACCGTGGGAATCCCACCACCCCACGGCCTCGGTGAGACGCTGGATATGGCAAGTATCTGACAGAACGTCTTACGTTTGCTGTCTGAAAGAGAGGGATGAGCAAACCCTGCACCCCTTTCTTTGAACTCACCCTTAGTTGTGCCAGTCATACCCCTTCACCCACCCCTACCTTTAAGCTCACCCCTCGATGTGCCTGTTATCCCCCTGTGGCGGACCTTGGGGTTTCGATTAACCGGACATAGTGTCACAGTTTGAAATCCATCAACTGAAGAAAGAACAGGATATCTTTGTCAACAATAACAGGATCAATATATTAACATTAATTAACAATTAGCAAATATATATATAAATAAAAATATATTAAAATACACAATGTTCAACAATGATTGTAACAGTGTTACATTGTTTTTGTTAAGTGAGTGAGTGAGTGAGTTGAGTTTAACGCCGCTTTTATCAGTATTCCAGTTATATCGCGGCGTGTCAGCTTAATGTGGGAGGAAAGCCCGAAGTGATGCTGGTCTCAGACGTTTACCACTTCGGTGAAACCCACGAGCACTGGTATGGTGCTGACAAACCTAGAAACATGATCTGGGCGAACCGGGATTCGAACCCACAATCATAGGTTTCATAGGCGTGCCCAAGGGACCCAAATCTGAACAGCGAATCGCGGCGCCTTAGACGACTGGGCTACCCGTGCCCCCGTTTCTGTTAAGATTCGGTAGACGCTCATTGCATTGTATTTGTCGTCAGTACTATTTAATGTAAGCAGTCGTCAGGAAGTTATTATATTTAGATGGTAGTGTGATATGTAAACTTCTGGTATACCGTGGACTCATGCAGAATATTCTGTAATGTTCTGGTGCCGCTAGACTGTCGAGGGCACCGTGAAGAATTTTCCAGTAGCTTGTTAGACTGTTTACATCATGGGACAAGAGTGAGTGAGTGAGTGAGTAAGTGAGTATGGTTTTACGCCGCTTATAGCACTATTCCAGCAATATCACGGCGGCGGGCACCAGAAATGGGCTTCACACATTGTACCCATATCGGGAATCGAACCCGAAGAGTGTGTATATCTTTCATGTGAGGATCACTCATCATCCATGATTACCTGCCAAGCCCATCTTGGAAGCTTGACGTAAATGACCAGCACCAAAATATTCTTTGTTGCAGCTGTGGTCGGCTATACCACATCGTCACAATGAATGGGAATTACTGCAAGCATTCCACCTCTAATAACAGCTGATTACTAGCCTAACCGTACCAACTCTGACGTCATGTCCATAAAACAGCTAATCCTTTAAGATAACCCAAGATATGCCAGTCATACCACCTCCACCACCCCTACCTTTAAGCTCGCCCTAGATATGCCAGTCATACCCCCTCCATCACCCCTACCTTTAAGCTCGCCCTAGATATGCAAGTCATACCCCCTCCTTCTGTCATGTGAAGTTCCTCTGTAGAGTTATACACAATCTGTATCTCCAGCATGTTCACTCCGATTCCATAGTGCGCGCCACCATTTACCACGCTCCCTTCTTGAGAAGTTCTTCAATATAGTTATACACAATCTGTATCTTCAGCATGTTCACCCCGATTCCATAGTGCGCGCCGTCATACGCCATCACACCGTTCGTAAAAGGAAATGTGTCAAACACTTCAACATTTAACTCTCTCAGTCTATTATTGATGTATTCGTTATACAGCCGCAGTTTCTCGTCACTTTGGTCATAGGTTCTTGGAATCTTCAGTAACCCATGAGCATGTGGACTCACCCACACAAACTTCGGCCATTCCTGCTTGGTTTGATTATAGATCTTTGCAATTGGTTTCAGAAGATGTTCCCATGCGTCTTCTTTATTATACCCACCATGAATACCTTGACCTAATAAAATGATAGACCTGTTCCTAGAACGCAGGCTGTTAATTAAAGGCAATACAGTCCCTGCGTGACTTGGTAAATTCACTTCTATGTGTTTTAAGAGAGTGCGACCTTCACACACTCGTTTGTTCGTCGTCAGGCCGTAGTTAAGAAACTGGAACAGCCCTTTGTACATCTTCCGTTTTCCTGAAATGGTCAAGTGAATTATGGTCAGTTCAAACAGAGCTATAGGTAGATCAAGGTGGGCTACAAAAGAGAGCATGTATTTATGTTTGTTCTGTTTGTGTGTTGTTTTACGCCGCATTCCGCCATATTCCAGCTATATGACGGCGGTCTGTAAATAATCGAGTCTGGACAGACAAATCAGTGATTGATATCATGAGCATCGAGCCACGCAATTGGGATACGAAGACATGCATCAAGCAAGTCAGCGAGCCGAACTACCCGATCCCGTTAGTCGCCTCTTACGACAAGCATAGTCGCCTTTTACGGCAAGAATGGGTTGCTGAAGACTTGTTATAACCCGGATCTTCACGGGTATGTATGTGCGTGCGTGCATGCGTGAATGCGCGCGTGCGTGTATGTATGAATGAATGTATGAATAAATGTATGTACGTGCTGAAAAGATTTTATGTCAATATCTTCGTGAGTTTTTTTTGTTTTTTGTTTGTTTGTTGTTTAACGCCGCACTCAGCAATATTCCAGCTATATGACGGCGGTCTGTAAATAATCGAGTCTGGACCACACAATCCAGTGATTGACAGCATGAGCATCGATCCACGCAATTGGGATCGATGACATGTATCAACCAAGTCAGCGAGCCTGACCACCCGATCCCGTTAGTCGCCTTTTACGGCAAGCGTACTCGCCTTTTACGGCAAGCATGGGTTGCTGAAGACCTATTCTACCACGGAATCTTCACGGGTCTCGTGACTTTTCTAGTAATCTGAAAGTAGGCTATTTACTAGATAATATGCAAATTCAGACACACACTATTAAAGGTATACGTGTACTTACGTGATGATTCATTCGGTCGGATAGTCGAGTCCTCATAGTTGTTTGTCAAATGCATCACAATCATTGTATACATCTGTCGCAAATAGGAGTCACCCATGAAATATAACTCAGATCCAGACAGGAGTTCGCAGGATGACGAGGCTGCGAGGGTTTTGACCGGACACCGGTCGTCTCGAGGCTTCCATGTTGCATATTCAGTATGAATCTGCTGCCTCATATCAAAACATGTTGGACAGGAGCAATCTTCTTCACTTCGAGCAACACACTGATTGTTGTAACAGCATGGGATCTTTCCGAGCGGATCACACAATGCTCGAAACTTGAGCGCAGGGTGACTTTTAAGTCCGTCAAACCCAACATCCCCACATCGCTTGTCCGGTCGTTCCATGCTAGCGGAGACCCCATAGTGAGATCGAGCTACGATTAGAAAGTCGTGGATTTGTTTAGACTCGTTTTGAGCCAAAGGGCGGGTAATCCATGCCCCCTTTGTCATCTCCGACATGACACTCGGGCAACTTCCGGTGAGTGGAGATGGCAAGTAATATTTTACTGTTAGGGGGAACATGCTTGTACCAAGTAGGCAGATGAAGATAATGCAGAGGAGAAGTAATGTTTTGAACACACGGTGTATGCTCTTATTTTTTACTACATGTCGTGTCTGATCTTTGAATGGCGTCAGTCCGTTCTCCGCTGAATGAGCATTTGGTTTCACGATCTTTTTCTTGCGTGTCATCTACAAAATAGGCAATTTATGTACGTTAACTAAACATCATATAATCATAACATGTATGTTTAGTTATTTCCCAAACAAAACCGCCTCGCGTCATTAGCACCCCATGCTTGTCGTAGGAGCATTGACTGATTTTGTCATCGTATCCCAATTGCATAGATAGATGCTCGTGATGTCAATTACTGGATTGTCTGGTCCAGACTGTATTATTGACAGACCGCCGTAATAAGTTCATGTACTGGTATATACATGTAGGCGTTAAACAACAAATAAACAAACAAAAACTATATATGCTTTCTTCATTTCGTCTTTGAGGATTTTATGAAAACGGGTAAGTATTTTTATATATGGTGTTATCAACTCGGGAGAAGTAGGCTTCATGTCCGTTCTGTACGGTGATTTCCAATATGAGGCAACGTATCAGGGGAAATTCGTTTGCAGAAGCCATGTTGAATGCCCTCTAAAAGGATAGAATTTGTCTTTTACACTTGGATAGTTCTGAAGCAACATTATAAAAACAAATAACAACGAATGCTGATAAAAACGACAAAACCCTTTTCATATTTATAAGAAATCTCTAACAGAAGGATAATCGATTGTACGATCCGACTATATCATGATCAAGTGTTTATGAATAACTATCAAACAGTAATGATATCCCGTGTTCGTGAAAAGGTGAGCGTATCCTGCCCCACCTTTGTCAAAGGCAAGTCAATTGTTTCCCTGAAAAACATGGGGACATACGATACAAGTCAAAATAGGGAATTGCCTGACTTTTTTGTCTCTGGTACGCCATATTTGTCCTCGACATGTCTAAAAAAACAACGTTTTTAAAGCTTTACTGAGGACTTAAGTTCTTTGAAATATTCGTAGTGAAGTCATCCCTCCCGTCACATAGTCTTGTGGAGAGTGTGTTGTCACCCTGAATCTTTATGCATAGTGAATGTGAAACGGAAGGGGCGGTCTCACTGGGTGCTTTACTACTAGCCAAGGTCGGTACATCGGTGGAAGAGAATAGGCTATTTGATTGTTGCTGCACGATATCAGATCATCGATATACATGAAGCTAAAAGTGTAACGTCATGGCAAAATTACCTTGTTTTGACTTTGTCAATCCGAACAGAAATTCTGATTCATATGCATGAAGAGCGGATCAGCAAGAAGGGGAGCCAACTGGTGCCATGATTGGAAATGGCTACTTCTTGCTACAACTATCTCACTCCCAAAGTTTACATGAATGTTATCAACGAGGAAGTCAAAAATGTAAAAAGTGTAAAATGTTGGATTTCCTCACTTCCTCGGGAAACATCAGATGGTACCGTATTCGACGCAATAAGCGCTCAGGGCGCTCTCAAAATTAGAAATAGGGGGCTCTTATTAAAATATAATTTTGGTGAGAAAGAAAACAGAGTTGAAAGATCGTAAATTTCGTGGTTTATGCTGACAGCCTGAAATGATACAAAAGAAAAGTCTGCGTATTATACACGACAGATATATTTTCCAAAACTTAATTGCCCATAATTAAGGGTGCATAAAACACACGAGTGCGTATTATACACGAATAAATAAGTGTACATTGATCAATCGGAAGGGGTGCTAATTGGGATTGTTCACTAGCCAATATATTAGCAAATATCGCAATGGGCGCATATTACAGCGGGGAGCTTATTACGTCGAATACAGTATTTGTTTTCATTTTTAGCAATTTGCCCCGAACCATTGAAGATAAATATGAATCCATGGTCAAAACGTTTAGTAAAAAATGTCCCCCGGATCTTGGAATGAAGTTTTCCTTCAAGTTTGCTGAATGGAATAGCGGTGTACACAATTGAAAAATGAAATGTGTTGACAGAATTGAACTTGGTTGTTTTGGTTCTCTGCAAACATTCAAGCAAATCCTTGACGTGGTTTTGAATTCCACTTATCCTCAATACATTCTGTGAATATAAAGAAAGCCCTTCCTTGATAGTATTAAGGATTATGGTTCATCTTTGAGATAGGGATTTGGTGGTACATTTGGACCCCAAAACTATTATTCAGAAAAGAATACAACAGGGGTAAATGTGACCCTGACTACTAATAGGGAAGTGTCGCCAACAACTGACTAACTCACTAGACGATGCGTAACGTCATGCAACAATGGCCTAATGCATGTCCATCCTCTATTATGTCGTGTAGTGTATTATCTATTCTATTCCCATTCTGTCATATGTTCCATTCGAATGGCTCAAAGGGAAAATTGGCTTTCAATCAAATTATAAATACGAAATCTGTTTTGATCCCGGTGATTTGCCGTACATTTTTTATATATATGCTGATAAACTACGGTTATAACGAACTAAACTTAGTGGTCCTCTTGAGTTCGTTGTAACCGTAGTTTACTGTACACATGTATGTGTATATATTTTACGGGAAGTAACTGATGATGGTGATGGATGAAAATAGTGACCTCACACAAAAAAGCTGTAGAAGCGAATGGTCAATGGTATGTACCGTAATATATATAATAAATAAATAATACAATGGATAATCGAGGATGAGAAGTGGCATTTTCGGTGTACACAGACAGTGTGATTATAGCGAATGGTTCTGGCACCTGCAGGAAAGTTCTGAATGCCGCCTAAATGTGATAAGGGTGAGGACTGTCGAACGTGCAGTATGACATGACGTTCTGCTCAAGCCACATTTCCCGAACCCGAAGTGAAATATCTTCTTGAAGCATTTCGTTCGTGTTCCTTTGCTGTTCACTGCTAAATCCATGGTAGCACATGGTAAATCTCCTCAGTTAACATGCTCAAGCCACATTTCCCGAACCCGAAGTGAAATATCTTCTTGAAGCATTTCGTTCGTGTTCCTTTGCTGTTCACTGCTAAATCCATGGTAGCACATGGTAAATCTCCTCAGTTAACATGCTCAAGCCACATTTCCCGAACCCGAAGTGAAATATCTTCTTGAAGCATTTCGTTCGTGTTCCTTTGCTGTGCACTGCTTAATCCATGGTAGCACATGGTAAATCTCCTCAGTTAACATGCTCAAGCCACATTTCCCGAACCCGAAGTGAAATATCTTCTTGAAGCATTTCGTTCGTGTTCCTTTGCTGTGCACTGCTTAATCCATGGTAGCACATGGTAAATCTCCTCCACTTTCCTATGCCTCTGATTCCAATGTTTTGTGTATGTATAAGAAATCTCCCATTAATACCAAAGAAAGGTTTGCAACGCTTTCAAACATTCCGCTGTCAGCCATGATGTGGGCATTCTTTGCATACTGATGGCTTGAATGGTCTGTTGATAAAACCGCACAGAGTAAAATAGGGACGTTTGTGTACTAGGCGTAGAGAATTTACCTTTCCTTGTTCTGTTGTATTCAGCATTAAACTTCCTCAATGTCTTTCCGAGGTCAAGCGAGGGTGTTGGCCTGAGACCACAGTCCCCCCCCCCCCCCCCCCCCCCCCCCCCCCCGCCTATTTTTACCATGAACCTGAAGGAAAATAGGAGAATATAGTGCCCTGTTTAAATGGACTGTTCAGTCTGTGACATTTTTTTGACTTGTGACAGCTTAAATGAAGATTAGACATTGTAGTCTGTTGCCCATTTTTGGTTAAGGAATTCTGTCTTGACCCCAAGTTGAAGGCCCCTCTGTGTGTTTCGACTCGGGACTTGCGTGACAAGTGACAAGTGGCAGGTTGGTCAGCATGCAACAGGAAAACAGCCTACGACTGATAATAATCATGGTGGGCTGTCATATCACTGTACATAGCAAAGAAGGAAATGAATTATGGTCTGAGGCCAGTTTTGCAAACAGGATAAAGATCCTTTCGTCGTCGCTCATGCCGTGGGCCTTCAATGGTCGTGGCCCGCTCTAACCTGACACGTGGTATATTCTCATTCACGACTGCCTTCGCCAACAGTCGTATACACGAACATGCTTTACAATTGTCTCGTTATAACGCGCTAAATGTAAATTGGATTTTTTGTTGAAATTAAACTCTTTTAAAGGTTTACAAGTCAGGGAAGACACTACCCCTCGGTTTGGGCTGAAGATGTAAACACTTGGGAGTCGGGAAAGCCCCCTCCTTCGTGTTTACATTTCAAGCAAAACCTCGGAGGCATGTTTACTCCTACACTTAAAACATGTTTAACAACAATCCTAAACACAAGCCTACCTTATTTGTAACAGTCTGTCTTCACGCCGCCACCATCAACTGAATGGCATGTGACGTGGTATAGATTTTCATAGATTGCTTTAAAGGGGAAGTGTACACGCAAAAGTTACTTTCTTTCGTTTTCTAAACAAAACGCAATTTTAGAATTAGTTAGTATCTGTGTTTGAAAATATACACTCATTTTTTCACAGTGAAAGTAGGAAGCTCACAATAGTGAAAATGATATGCCGTTATCAGGCCTTCGTTTTGCGAGCTAAACAGGCCTGAGTTATCCCCCTTAGATTATGACGTAATTGGTGCCAATTCAACTGGGTCCCTGTCTATTCTCAACGCAAAAGATATCAAGTACCAGTTTGCGGTAAAACAACATGGCCTACGACACACTCCGGCGCAGTGGTGACTCAGCATAACACTATGCTAGCTGGCATCTGAGACGCAAGAATTACACACCTGTACCTACACCACGTGAAGCGGCTCTAACAAAGCATGATGACGTCATAATGTTTATCAATTGGCACCAATGACGTCATATTGCAAGGGGCATAAGCCATGGTGTTTTTGTTATGGAAATAGAACACTTGGTAAATGTGAAAAATATAAATAGCTTTAATGCGAAAATTATGTTGATTAATTGTGATATTTTTATATTTTTGTCTATGACACTTCTAGGTTAACACTTTTAATGTGGAAAAAGTACAAGAAAAATAGGTTCATTTCCGTGTGAACTTGCCCTTTAACGTTCTGTGGATAAAACCACACAGAGTAAAATAGGCTAGGGATGTTTGTGTACCAGGCGTTGAGATTTCAACTTTTCTTGATCTGTTGTATTCGGCATTAAACTTCCTCAATGTCTATCCCAGGTCCCATTTTCCGCAAAGACATAAACCGACCGTGACTTCATGAATAATGGATGAGATAAACCTGTGAAGCTTTGAGTTATACAGCAATCTCGACAGCGCCAACGAGCGTGGAAATACCGTTAATGCAGTAAATACTGCAGACGGTGATGCAGATTTAATAAAATACACTCAAGCAGAAGGAATAAAGAACAAGGAAGCAGTGTTAATACATGTTCATTGATCTTATCTGGGGGCACGGGTGGCCCAGTCGTCTAAGGCGCCGCGATTCGCTGTGCAGAATTGCGTCCCTTGGGCACGCCAGAAACATATGATTGTGGGTTCGAATCCCGGTTCGCCCCAATTATGTTTCTAGGTTTGTCAACACCATACCCGTGCTCGTGGGTTTCACCGAAGTGGTAAACGTCTGAAACCTGCATCACTTCGGGCTTTCCTCCCACATTAAGCTGACACGCCGCGATATAACTTGAATACTGTTCAAAGCGGCGTTAAACCCCATTCCCTAAGTTATCTAAAGGAAGTTACTCGTATGAATAATCATCCCTTTACTTTCATATAGAAACTGTCCTCATATCAACATAAAAGGTGATTAAAAAGATTCTTATTTAATGATAAGGTCGTGGATTTTGTTCCGACGTAAAATGGACTGCCTCTGTGGTGTAGTGGTAGAGCGTCAGCCCGGAGACCGGAAGGTCCGGGGTTCAATCCCCGGCCGCGTCATATCAAATGATGGTACTAGTTCTGTCCCTGCCAAGCGCTCGGCATTAAGGTTTTTTAAACAAGGAATGGGGTATTCATGTTAAAACTGCGGCATGGTATCTCAGTGTGCTAGCACTATAAAATCGGCATTAGTCCGGACTGGTTGAAGCACACACACACAAACACACGCGCGAGTGCGAGCATGCACGTCCGTTGACTGGGGGATAAAAATCCTTTCGTCGTCGATCATGCTGAAGGCCTTAAATGGTAGAGACCCGCTCTAACCTGCCACGTGGTATATTCTCTTGCAGCGACTGCCTTCGCCTACAGTCGTATACACGAACAGGCTTTACAATTGTCTCGTTATAACGCGCCAAATGTAAATTTGATTTTTTGTTTAAATTAAACCCTTTTGATGGTTTATAAGTCAGAGAAGACGCTACCCCTCGGTTTGGATATACAAAACTATCGGACCAAACTGGCGAAGCTAGCTCTAGACAAAGCGGATATACAGCCTATTCCCTTTAGTAAACTAGAGATAAAAAGCGAAATCAAAGCCTCCATAGCAGAAAGATGGCAAGCCCAATGGGACGCAAGTAAGATCGGCAGAAGGCTATACAAAATTAAACCCAAGGTCCAACAAAAGCCAAACTCATACTCAAATGAAAGGAAAATTGAAATTGCCATCTCACACCTCAGACTCGGTCACAAAAAGCACAATGACAATGTTTGTTCATCTTGCAATCAGGCTGAAACCATTGCTCACGTGTTACTAGAATGTCAAGACCATGCCCCAGCCCGGGCTAGGTTAAAACAAGAATTGCGGTTAGATCCGCTATCTGTCATAGATCTCCTAAAGCCAAGAGATGCAATAGCGAAGGCCAAACTAACTCTATTTCTGAGTGATGGACAGCTACTCGAACGTATATAAACAGAGCAGCCAAGGATAAAAATGAAATTATATCAATATAAGAAAAAAGAAATCATATCAATACAAAAACAGAAAGTTTGTGAATACCAAACTCACAATAGATATGTGTACCCTACTCACACACAGGAGTCCCAAAGGCAGAAGGCGACCTCTTAAACACTCAATGCAACAACAATAATCGGCATTAGTCCGGACTGGTAGAAGCAGACAGACAGACACGTCGCTATATAAGTGCAATAACCTAGGACGCGACGTTAAACCCCATTACACCTCACCTATGAGTTGCCGCAAATTCACGGATGAAGATGCTTGAGTGAATTTCCCAGGGGAGGAGGGAGGTCGAATGCATTGGCTTTGTTTGTTTTTTGTTTAACGCCGCGCTCAGCAATATTCCAGCTATGTGACGGCTGTTTGTAAATAATCGAGTCTGGACCAGACAATCCGGATATTGACATCATATATATCGATCCGCGCTATAGGGATCGATGACATGCATCAACCAAGTCAGTTAGCCTGACCACCCGATCCCTTTAGTCACCTCGTACGACGGGCATAGACGCCTTTTACGGCAAGCATGGGTTGCTGAAGACCTAGTCTACCCCGTCTCAGGGGAGGTGGGAGGTCGATTGCATTGGCTTTGGTACATGCATGTATACCTAGTGGTACCGTCCACAAAAACGTTTCAGTCATATCTGTAGTCTGTCTTACAGACCCTGATACAAATATATCAACTACAGCCCATGCAAGTCTATAATGTTTGGCAAGTCTAGATTACTGCAGTATCAGAAAATGAAGAGAATCACTGCTCCCTTTTTATTATATTTTTATTAAGATAACTGAGCAACTGTTTTTTCTGTACGATATGTTCATTTCAGAGACTATATGTTAGTCTATCATATCTGTTATCAAGGCGATGATGAAAATGAAGTGAGTGAGTGATATTCCAGTTACATTGCGGCATGTCAGTTTAAATTTGGGAGGAATGTCCGAAGAGATGCAGGTCTCAGACGTTTACCACTTCGGTGAAACCCACGAGCATGGGTATTGTTCTTGCAAACCTAGAAACATAATCGGGGCGAATTGGGAATCAAACCCACAATCATATGTTTCTGGCGTGCCCAAGGGACGCAACTCTGCCCGGCAAATCGCGGCGCCTTAGACGACTGGGCCACCCGTGCCCCCAGATAAGATCAATGAACATGTATTAACACACTAAAACATTAAACTTTCGCAGTTTAATCCATTTTAAGATTTTCTCCTCGAAAACAGTAGTAAAATCAGTGTGTAACTTGGTGTTATATCTTCCGAGAAATGGTATTCTTAATACACGTGTTGAACCTCACAATACACACATCAGTACTGTTAATCTTGAAATTAACGCGAGCGTAAATTAAATGCGAAAAATGCGAGTGGTCTTTGTTCGTTTAATGAAACTTCGCATTTGTGTCCAAAATTACCATCAAGAATGAGACCGCCTCACTGCACACTTTGGATAGCGGAAATACCAATTAGAATATAAACACAAAACACTGTTTATTGAGCAGCACTTATAACAAGTATATAACCATGTCATTCAAAGAATAGGAATTAAACAATAGGCATCCGGTGAGTTATCATTGCTGGGGTCAAGAGTTCTACCGCGACACACTCATTGTTTCACTAAAAGGTATCCTGAAGTTTTCTTATTTGTTTTCTTGTATAACTTGTATTTACAAGGTCATAAGTTGGATAAAACACTCCTAATCGGATTTG